ACTTATTTAATCCTTAAATAACCCAAGAATGTAAATACTATTATTAATAGTTTTTTAAAAGAAGAAACTAAAGCCTAGAGAAGTTAGGTAGCTTGTCCAAGATCATATAAAAAGTAAGTAACAGGGCTGGGATTTTGAACCCTGATTGAGTTCATCCTCCCAACTGTTACTCTATACCATCTCTCACTGGAACCCTGTCCTTTCTCAAACAGGTTCATCTGAACCATAGAATACAGAAAATGATTTCAGTGACTATTTTCTTAATTCTCTCTAGAATGAGAACATAACTAGTAGTATGCATGGGAGAGAAGTATTTCATTAGGAACTGCTGATGCCTTAGAGCATTAGAGTTTACTTCTTGAGGAAACTCAGTTAAGAAAGCCTGAAGGAGCTGTAGTTTGCAAATACATTTATACAGAACTATTCTGGAACTAACTTACCATTGGTTTGTTTTGGAACCAGTTTTGGATTTTGAACAAAAAGGACCAAATCTCATCTATCCCTTGCTCTAGGGATAGAGCCTTTGTCAGCAGTAATGTCTTACCATTAACAATTGAGAAGAGCAGCAGGTTGGGATATGATAGTGGTTACTAAGATTTGCCAAGCTGGGGTGACTTTCAGCAAATCAAGTAGTTAGACCACCATTTATTTATAGAAGTAAGTCACTGTTGCTTTTCCCACCTTCATTTTCCCTTGTTTCCCCATGTTCCACTAAGTTTCAGAATCTCATAGGTCATCTGGCAGATATCCACTTGCCCTCTGGGAGTGTTTAACTATCAGCCTAGACACTTCCTTTTGGTCTGGTTTAAGAGGCCACTCAGAGATATTCTTCTACTTTCAGCAAAAAATTATAGAAGGTCCTGTCTTGCCTTTACCTGATCTTAGACTTGTGAAAAAAATTCTAGGTTAATCCAAAATAACTTGGAGAAATTATAATAGATTTCCCTCCCAGTTTATTAATTAATATGAAATATAGATTGCTGGTACTGCTTCCTCTACATCATATGAAGTCATTTGTAGGGAAATAATAGCAGGTAAATAACAGTAAATTATTCCTGAGCTGCTGTAGGGATGGATGTTCAGTGTGGATGAAGAGAAACCATGCTAGTAAGAGAGCAGAATGAGTAAGAGAGCAAAAATGGTTCCCACTTGAAATGAGAGGAATGAGGTTTAGTCCCATTTTGCTCTAACTAGTTATGTTACCTTAAAAAAAGTTTGCTTTTTCTAGGTAATTCATTATCTGCTGAGAGAGAGAGAAAAAACTTAATAATATCTTCCCTTAATAAGATTTACCCATATCACATGATTGGTTGATTTGTTCATTCACTCATTTATTTATTTAAAACTAGTTATTACCCTCTGTATGCCAGTATCTTTCAAGGTTTTGTGCATATAGCAGGGAATTAAAGGATAAAAATTTGTCTTCATATTCTAGACAGTACAATCAGGTAGTGGATATGTAAAATACATGTTGTGACAGATGGTAATAAGTGCCACAGGGAAAAATAAACAGGTAAGGGTGGGAGGTTTAGGAAAAGAGGAGAGAGATTTTAAATAGTGTTATCAGGAAATACTATATTCAGGAGATAATATTTGGATAAAAACTTGAAGGGAATGAGTGACTGGGCTGCTGACTGGACAAAGTAAGATGAGGACCAGGAGTTGACCATTCTAGGTTGGTGGAGCCTTCAATTCTTAGATCATGTGTGTAGGTTTATAAAGTGCTCTCATTTCTGTTCTCAGTAGCAAGTCTGAAAAATGACCATGGAATATTTTTATATGAAGAAAGTACAATAAGAATTTCAGGCAAGTGACATTCTTTGGCCTGTTGATATGCAATTAGCTGTTGAGTGAGTGGTGGTTTAGTGAGGATCTGGGCCATGTGCCGTCCAGGAGCACATTCTAGTCTCTGGGTGAGATTCGATGCCACTTGATGAGGACTCATCAAGCCAGGTGCCACTTGTTGCCATTCTTTGTTTCCACTCTGTGGACATACTGTTCTTCATTATTTCAGATGTAGTTAAAGGTGAAGAAGATAGATACATTTAATTATACCAAAAAACCCCTCTGCTGTACATAAAAACACCAGAAGGCTGGGCTAAGGTATTTGCCACAGTAATACACATAAAAACCTAGAAAAAAACAAATGTAGCTAGGAAAACTAAAATTAACCAGATTGTATTAACTGCTGGCAGGAATATGGGGAAATTTATTTATATTCATGCACTGGTAGAAGTATAAATTTGCATAGATTGTCTATAACTGCAAAAAATTGGAGACTGCCAAAATGTCTGTCAGTAAAGAAATGTATAAACAGATGTAGTTTTGTCACCTGATAAAACACTGTGCTACAGGGAAAAGGAATAAAGCAGGTATATGTATTGTATCATTAGGGGTAGACCTCAAAACAATGCTGAATTCTTTAAAAAGTAAAATTCAGTGTGATACTTTGTACATAAACAAGAAATACACATACAATACAGGATGGGGCAGAAATAGGCTTACAGTTATGAGTATGTAAAACACAAGAGTTTATTCTTATAGTTACTAATTATTGTATTATTTTACATACAAACAACTGTAAACTTACTTTTGCCCTACCCTGTATATCCATCCCTAAATATACATAGTATGTATATATGTTAAATTGTTAAAATAAAAGATTATGCAACAAACTCATGGTAGTGAGTGGCTGGTGGAAAGTGTGCAATCTTCAATGGGACATTTGCTTTATCTGTGATTGGAAGTAAAAATGGCGTAATGTTTATTTCTCAGTGTTAGACATGTAAGTATTTATGATTCTTTGTACTTTTGGATAATTTTGTATTAGCTAAGCCATTTAAAAGAAGGGGGCCACATTTCATAGAATGAACCCCCAAAGAATAATTTATCAATCTATTTATACATAACTTGTTTTTTTAATATATTTTATTGATTATGCTATTACAGTTGTCCCATTTCCCCCCTTCACTCCCCTCCACCTTGTACACCCTCCCCCACCCACATCCCCGCCTTTAGTTCATGTCCATGTGTCATACTTATAAGTTCTTTAGCTTCTACATTTCTCATACTATTCTTACCCTCCCCCTATCTGTTTTCAATCTATAATCTATGCTACTTATACTCTGTACCTTTTCCCCCTCTCTCCTCCCCCAAATCCCCTGTTGCTAACCCTCCATGTGATCTCCATTTCTGTGGTTCTGTTCCTGTTCTAGTTGTTTCTTTAGTTTGTTTTTGGTTTTGCTTTAGGTGTGGTTGTTAATAATTGTGAGTTTGCTGTCCTTTTACTATATGTGTTTTTTTTTTATCTTCTTTTCTTAGATAAGTCTCTTTAACATCTCATATAATAAGGGCTTGGTGATGATGAACTCCTTTAACTTGACCTTATCTGAGAAGCACTTTATTTGCCCTTCCATTCTAAATGAAAGCTTTGCTGGATAGAGTAATCTGGGATATAGGTCCTTGTCTTTCATGACTTGGAATACTTCTTTCCAGCCCCTTCTTGCCTATAAGGTCTCTTTTGAGAAATCAGCTGACAGTCTGATGGGAACGCCTTTGTAGGTGACTGTCCCCTTATCTCTTGCTGCTTCTAGGATTCTCTTCTTCATTTTCATCTTGACTAATGTAATTATGATGTGCCTTGGTGTGTTTCTTCTTGGGTCCAACTTCTTTGGGACTCTCAGAGCTTCCTGGAAGTCTATTTCCTTTGCCAGAATGGGGAAGTTCTCCTTTATTATTTGTTGAAACATGTTTTCAATCTGTTGCTCTTCCCCTATAATTCGGATGTTGGGACGTTTAAAGATGTCCTGGAGGTTCCTAAGCTTCTCCTCGTTTTTTTGAAATCTTATTTCTCCATTCTTTCCTGTTTGGTTGTTTCTTTCTTCCTTCTGGTCCACTCTATTGTTTTGAGTCCCAGTTTCCTTCCCATCACTATTGGTTCCCTGTGCATTTTTCCTTCATTTCTTTTATGGTAACCTGCATTTGTTCATCTAACTTGCGCCCAAAATCAACCAATTCTGTGAGCTTCCTGATCACCAGTGTTTTGAACTGTGCATCTGATAGATTGGCTATCTCTCAGTCACTTAAAAGGGTGAGTCCTGGGCATTGATTTGTTCTTCTGTTTGAGCCATCTCTCTTTTTTTTTGGCCTGGTAGCTGCTGTTACGGTGAGGTGTTCACCAGAGCTGGGCACCCCAGTCGCTAGATTCTGACGTTGTATGTGGGGGTGGGGGGTGGGAGGGAACAATGGCAGTAGCTCCGTTCTCCTGGGACCTCAGTCCCTTCTCTGGGATCCTGGGTTGCATGCTCTGCCCTGGTCCACAATCACCGCCTCACTGGGTCTGCCAGCTGCCACTTGCATACTCAGGGTCCACCCGCTGTGATCTTGCGCACCCCAGATGCCTTACATGCCCCCAGTTGCCTTATGCGCCCAACTCTCCCTGTTCTCTGAGCTGCAACCCATGCCCGGCTGCTCGTCTCTGCCCCTCCTACTGGTCTGGATGAACGGGTCTACTTCAACTTCTTGGCTGTCTGACTTCCATTCAGATAAATTCTCTGTCAGTTCTGGGTGTTATTCTGCCTCTAAATTGTTGTTCCAGTTTTGGTTGTGCATGGAGGTATGGTGCGTCCACCTATGCCTCCATCTTGGCTGGAAATCCTACACATAATTTATTTACTGTAGACCATCTACCTCTGTCTGTATCAGAGGAAATGTGGTGACTGAATATTGACTCAGGACAATAGTCTCTCCTAGTATGTCCTTAATGTTGTCATACTCAGTTGGAAGGGCAAGGATCCTTATTCTTATTAGCATAGGATCATTACCTTTATTCTGACTCCTCATTTTTAATTTTTTATTACTAACTGCAAACATATTGACTTGTAGGAAGTTCATTTGGCTCCATAGCTATGAGCACGAAGATGCTAGCATGGCGGACTGGGATGTTTAGAAGCTTTATAACAGCATTGTGCTTTTCCCCTTGTCTAACCTCTTCCCTACAGGGAATCTTTAACCAGTTTCAGTGCAGTAGTGAAAAAGTGCTTCCATCTGACACTCTCCGCAGTGCTCTGGCAAAGACTTTCCAGGATGAACAGCGCTTCCAGCTGGGAATTATGGATGATGCTGCAGAGTGCTTTGTAAGTGCTGGCCTCTGGCCCTCTTTGGTATGAGGTGGGACTGTTGATGGTCACCAGCAGGGACTAGCTACTGTACTATGGTTATTTATTGTGCCCCTGGTCTCTACAGTTAGAACCAGAAATTTCCCTAGTTTCTCAGAGTGTTAGGGTATCTCTGCTAATGCAATATGACTGGCCTTGCAGGTTTACTCTTTTTCCTTCAGGCTTAGGGTAGTTTTGTGCTTGCCATTACATAAAACATTGGCTGTCACTTTCAGAGGAGACAGGGCTCATTAAAATACAAATTGCCGTGCCCTATCCTCTTGAGTGTCTGATTCAATAGTTCCGGAGTAGGGCCCAAGAATATCTGCCTCTGACAAGTTCCAAGGTGATGCTAATACTAATGCTAGTGGTTTGGGGACCACACTTTGAGAATTCCTGCATTACTAAAAATAATTAAACAGAGAATAACTGAGTGCTTAGCACACATGTAATGTTCTATTTAGATAACTGTGTTTCTCCCAGTCACTTTTAGTGGAAGACCCTACCTCCTCTGAACTCTGGGTTCTATCCATCAACCTTCAGAAAGCTGTGCATCTAATAAAAAACTGAGAGAATGATATATACATCCCATTACAGGGTAAAATGTAGGCCAAAGTCAGAGCTACTCCTAAGAAACTGGATCACTGATTGCTGATGGGAATGTAAAATGGTAATGTTACTCTGGAAAAGTTTGTCAGTTTCTTAGAAGAAGAAATCTGCAAACCACCACATGACTCAACAGTTGCCTTTCTGGACCTGCATCTCAGAGAAATGAAATTTTATGTTCATACCAAAACCTATACATGAATATTCGTGGAAGTTTTTTTCATAACAGTCCTGAAACTAGAAACCACCCAAATGCCTTTAATGGGTAAATGGTGTTACAAATTGTGGTACTTCTATACTGTAGAATACTACACAGGAATAAAAAGGAATAAACTCTTGATTTATGTAGTCTTTAGAATGGATCTAAAGGGAATTATACTGAGTCAAAAATGCAATATCCAAAGGTTATACATTATATAATCCCATTTATATAGCATTCTAAAAATATCAAAATTACAGAGATTAGGGAGTAGATCCATGTTTGCTGGAGTCAGGGTTGGAATGGGGTATGTGAGACTGTAAAAGGATATATGAGGGGTCCTTGTGGTTATGGAACAGTTTTCCATCTTGATTGTTGTGGTCACATGACCGTATACATGTGATAAAATTGTATGGAGCCACGCATAAACACAAATGAGTGAATCTGGTGGAACCTGAATAAACTCTGGATTGTATTCATGTCCATTTCCTGGTTTGGACATTGACTATAGTTATACAAGATGTTAACATTGGAGGAAATTGGGTGAAAGGTATATTGACTTTCTATACAATTATTTTGAAACTTCCTAAGAATTTATATTACTTCAAATTAAAGAGTTAGAAAAAACACTTTCTGTCTTCCAGGAAGATTGCTGTTTCTCTGAGTAAACTGCTAACCAATTTGTACATTTGTTTGTTAAGTATTGTTGGTATACTGTGTGTGTTCTTTCCTATTAGGAAAACCTGCTGATGAGAATTCACTTCCACATTGCCGATGAAACCAAAGAGGATATATGTACTGCCAAGCACTGCATCTCCCACCAGAAATTTGCAATGACGTTGTTTGAGCAGGTGAACCTTGTTTCTATCCCCATCACTTCTTAGATATTTTGTTTAAGAACAATTTATCTTGGGATGTGGAGTGTCAAATAGTTGCCAAAACAGTTAATGACCATGGCTGCTTGGTTTTGTGTTTTTCCCCCGGGCCCAGTGTGTGTGTACCAGCTGTGGCGCCACTTCTGATCCACTGCCTTTCATCCAGATGGTGCATTACATCTCTACCACTTCCCTTTGGTGAGTTTTACAGGGTTCTCTCTCCCCTTAGTCACTCCTTCAGTTGATTGGGTTTTAACTGGGCATCCAAATAGTTTATATCTTCATTGCTGAATCTACACTACATTGTAGGAACTCAGAATTGTAATTTTAAAATAACTTGTGTTCTCCTTCTTTTCCATCCCTCCTTTTTTCTTAGTCTCAGTTCTGGCCAGCAAAGTGGGAGGAAGCATGGGAATTCAATGAGCTTTAGATTTTGGGACAGGCAGACGCACTTACTATGTTTGTGGGTCTCTGATGCTGGCCAGGACAAGTGGGCAGAGGAAGAAAGTCAAACATGTGAGTTAGAATTTTATATGAATGATTTATTTGATTTAACTGTAACTCTCACCATCATCCCCCATCTATTTCCCATCTTGAAGCAATCAGGCTATTTGTATGTTGGAAAGACGAGAAAAACCCTCACCAAGCATGTTTGGTGAGCTGCTACAGAATGCCAGTACCATGGGGGATCTCCGGAATTGTCCGGTGAGTTAAGTTAGTGGTGGGTTTGGAGTGGGGAGGGGAACCCTGGGATTAGTGGAATGGAGCCAGAGCTGGTGGGAAACATGTCAAACTACCCTTATGTATGTATTTCAGAGCAACTGTGGAGAGAGGATTCGGATTCGCCGTGTATTGATGAATGCTCCACAGATTATTACAATTGGACTGGTATGGGACTCGGACCACTCAGACTTAGCAGAGGATGTCATTCATAGCCTGGGTACCTGCCTTAAGTTGGGTGATGTGAGTGTTGGTTTAACTCTGACTTAGAGTCATTGTGTCTTATTCTTCCTCAAGAGCATGAACACTGAACACAAAGTTATATCCTAAATGACAACTATAGAGTTCTGGACAAATATACTTGTGTATAGTAGTGCCTCCTTACCCATGGTTTCACTTTTTGTGGTTTCGGTTACCCAGTCATCTGTGGTCTGAAAATATTAAATGGAAAATACCAAAAGTAAACAATTTGTAAATTTTAAGTTGCGTAAATCACTTAAACATGGTTCTCAGTAGTGTGATGAAATTTCACCCTGTTTTCACTATTTGTTCCCTTTGTCCAGTGTATCTACACTGTATATGCCACTCACCTATTAGTTCACTTAGTAGCCTTCTCAGTTATCAGATTGACTGTTGCAGTATTGCAGTGTTAATGTTCAAGTAAAAGTAACCCTTAATGTAGTCTAATGCTGAATCACAGCAGCCTATGTCATTCATTTCACTTCATCTCATCATGCAGGCATTGTATCCTTTCATGTCATCACAAGAAGAATAAGTGCAGTTCCGTAAGATTTTGATAGAGAGAAGCACAACATTCACATAAATTTTATTACAGTATATTGTTATAATTGTTCTATTTTATTATTGTTGTTGTTAATCTCTTACTGTGCCTAATTTATAAATTAAACTTGATCATAGATATGTATGTATAAGAAAAAAGGTAGTATACATAGGGTTCGGTACTCTATGCAGTTTTACACATGCTGGGGGTCTTGGAATGTATCCCCTGTGAATAAGGGGCACTGCCACATACCTCCTTTGGGTAGGTAGCAAAGGCTTTTTTTAGGAAATGGGAGGACCTTGGCCTTGAAAGACCAGATAGGCAGAGCTTAGGGACTGGTAAAAATCAAGCAATTTTTAGTTATTGTGTGCTTTACTCACTGTTAGTGTATACCCATGTGAAACAGGGAGGTATATCCAACCATGGGAGGGAGTAAGGTCAAAGAAGTGAGAAGTCCTGACCAGAGCTGCTTTGGGAGGTGAAGGAGGTGAAAGTTAGTGACTTGAGTCCTATAAAACGAAATTCCCAGTGAGGAACCAGTGTCTGCTGAGAACGCAATGAAGTAGCTTAGAAGAAAATTTAGTGGGTTAGTGGTTTTCTCTGAATCTATTTAGGAAAATAGGGAAACAGACTTCAGACCTGGAGGCTTAACCTTACCAGCTCCATGCCCAAATGTAGGTACAGCCAGGGTTTTCCTTGAGTTCAAGAGGAGAATCAGAAGCTCTTTGGCTTCCTTTCTATTAGTTTTGTCCTCAGGTAATCATATGACTAAGAAGATCCCTTGTTGATGTTTTTAAATATCATCAAGCCACTACTGAGACTAAATGAACCATTTGGGATCTTATTTTAGGTCTTCTTCCCAAGGAATCTCTGAAGTGAGTAGGCTATGCACAGCAAAATCTCCTTTTTCTAAAATTCTGTAGCCTATATATTCTGTACTGTTCTAGTTTTATTTTTATGATCGTTTTCTCAACCAAACCCGTTCTTCAAGGCAAGAATCACTTTCAACAGTGTGTTTTGTTGTTGTTGTCTCTTAGCCCCTAGCACAGCATTAGACATCTAGGAATTGAAATGCTGGTGACCAGCATGGGGGTATTGCTTCTCCTAAAGACTTTCTTACCCTCCACTGAGGGTCTTATTAGGAAATTTATATTGTGGTGCCAGCTGATAAATAACTTTTAAAACTTAAGAGTGTTTTTGATTTGTTTTGTTTTGGTTTTTCAACTTTTCCTGACTCCTTATGATAGCAAGAAAAATATTATGGAAAGTTAGGAAGAAACATCACCACCTTACCAGTTACTGGCTACTCTTTGTTGTGCTTTTCCCTATGTTTTGCCTTTTTATGTTCATTTCTGGTGATTAATATGGACTAGCAAAAAATCTTATACTGAAGGGCAGAAACCCAAGTCAGTGCCTTAAGAAATGATGGAGTCTGCTCACAGATGATGTGAAAGGGTTGAGTATGTCACTGTTCTTTCCTTTCTCTTCTTTCCCCACAGCTGTTTTTCAGAGTGACAGATGACCGGGCCAAGCAGTCTGAACTGTACTTAGTAGGAATGATCTGTTACTATGGCAAACATTATTCTACATTCTTTTTCCAAACAAAGATCCGCAAATGGATGTATTTTGATGATGCTCATGTCAAGGAGGTAGGAATATTCAAGCACTTCTTAAAGTATTTGGTAACTGCAACAAAAAACTAAGGATAATTGTTTGTCTTCAGTGTTTTATTTTTGTAATTTTAATATCTCTCTGCCTATCTATTGGATTTATGAGAGTATTAGTCTTGTCTTCCCTAATTGATGGCAAGTTTCCTTGAGGACAGGATGAATATGTCTTATATTGTTTTCTCTAAATGCTCTCACATGGCATTCAGAGCAGTTCTGTATTTGTAGTTGACAAAATATTTTTTTAAATATGTTAATTGGTTAATTTGAGCAACAATAATCTAATGCCTTAAATTCGATCATAAAGTTAGCAGAAAGCCCAGAATTCCAAGTCTTGGAATCATTAGTGGGTAATACTGTGTCTCTGGGCTGCTATAAATTATTCTCAGATTGTTAGCTCCCTGAACATGTTTTTGAGATAGTACAGAGAAAACAGGGCTATGATGATATTTAAATCTGGAATCATGGTACTATGTAAACCGGAGTCCGGATAAAGTAGTTCAGGTGATTTGCATGAGTTAGAAAGACTCGTGTGATTGGGTTAGCAGCTAGACGCTAGCAGTTAGAATGCTTACACATTCTGCACCAATGCATGGACCGCGAGCAGCCCCTTCCGCGAGTCTGCGGATTCTCTAATTCCCTTCTTCGTCTCTTTTTTTTTGCAGTTGTCATTTTGGGCAGCATATAAATTCTTTAAGCTTTAGGCTTTTCATTTGAATAAGAATACATGCCTTATAAGATATTGTATAAGGTTATATAAAAAGCATATAAATGTGTTTTAGTTAAAATAGTGATAACCCAGTTATAAATTTACTGAACATCTATTATAAAATAACAACTATGATAGTTGTCTGACTCCAACAGTACACCATCTAACAATGTGACTGGTTCAAGTTAAAGAGCGGGCGAGTTTGGGGATTTGGCTGGATTGTTATTTCCATGGCGATTCAGCCACTCTTTTCCACTGCGGAGGCACACTGAATCCGGCACAAAGCTAAGGTCGGGAGGTCCAGCTGTCTATTCTAAGCAGCTTGACATTTTATGCCATGCCATGTGTGAACTCTGACTCGGTATGTCATTTATTCTAAGGCAGTCTGTGAGAGAGTTTCTGCCTGTTCTTTAGCTTCATAAAAGTGACCTTAATATTTAGGAGAAAGTTATAGAAATGCAAGTTTCAAGCAAACACTTTGATTTGATGATGTCTTTGAAAAGAAAAAAGATGGCCATGGCAGCTCAAGTCCCCTCACATAGCATACTCGTCTTTGAGAACCCTTCTTCATATTTCACAACTGAACTGATGTTTCATGAGAATAAAAGTAACTTTATTCATCATTCCTGTCTTTTACAGGGTTATAAGCTTTCTAAAAGGATTTAACAAAAAAAGATTTAACAATTTATTAAGTAGGTATAAGATCTCTTTTATGGTCTCTGTATTTAATTCTTGTCTTTTCATCTTTTATTTTCTTTAGAAAAACAGAACAGGAAGGTATGTTTTGAACTGCAGATATGAAGTATAATTGTCCTGTTTTTATGATTGTTTTTGGTTCAGATTGGGCCCAAATGGAAGGATGTGGTGACCAAATGCATCAAGGGGCATTACCAGCCTTTGCTGCTGCTTTATGCCGACCCCCAGGGTACCCCAGTGTCCACCCAGGACCTGCCTCCCCAAGTTGAATTCCAGTCATACAGCAGGATGTGCTACGATAGTGAAGATTCTGGTGAGCAGCCTAGCTCCTACCTCCCCCTTCCCCTCTCCAGTGTGGTCATTGGACTTTTGGGACTCTCGATCAGGAGCCTACCATATCACCTAGCTTGGAGAAAGAGGATCCATTAGAAAAAAGAAAGAAATGCCAACTTGTGCTGAAGCCCAGCTTTCTCCAGCTTTGTGTCCTTTAGCCTCCAAGAATGTGTTGCGTATATTCAGTGTGTTCCCAATTCAAAAATTCAAAGGAAATTATGTTGATAGACTGAGATATTAAATTTGTGAGGGAAACCTCAGCATTTAACCTTTTAATTAGTAAAGATGACAGATGACTGATTCCTACTAGCAATTTAACAGTGACTTCAGTGAGTTGTTAAGACCAAGGGAATGATACAATACTACAAAGGTAGTCATAGTGTTAGGGATGAGAGATTTTTGTTTTAAAATGCCACAAGCAGTAGTGGTATTTTCAGCTTATGAATCAGTTGTTTACTTCTAATTCAGTTGTTTGGAACGTGAATTATGTTTTCCTGTAGAAACAAGTTGCAGCTTCATGGCTAAAGTCTCAGGTTAGCCCAAGAGGCTCATAATACAGGGTCTGGCAGAAGTAATTCCAGTTTGAGTGTGGTTGGTAGGGTAATAATGTGAGTATAATAATTTATAGTTTTAATTGGAACATTTCACCTAAAATGTCATGTGGTGAGCTTGAGTGTGATATTGTTATGTTACAGAATTACATGCTGATGATTATGTAATAAAAGATTTTGTAATGAAAGGGGGTATTATTTGTGCTGGACCCTGTATATTAGAAATATAACCCTAATGATTTTGGCTTGACTTCTGAAAAGGAGGAAAAAGAAATGTTCTTTCCCACTTCTATTTCTAGGGCTGGCCCTAAGTATAATTTTGAAAGAGCAGACACTTGTCTTTGGAATCTTTTCCCCTTTCTTTTGTATCTCTCTCCTGCTTGATAACTGGTATTCTTCCCAGCTGTGTAACCTCAACCAGACCAGCTCTACTTCTGTCTTCAATCACACACCCACTGTCACCACTTATCTTAGCTAGGTGTTAAGAGGAAAGTATTCTTTTTTTTTAAATATTTATTTATTTATTTATTTATTATTATTTTTTTTTAATCATTGTTCAAATACAGTTTTCTCCTTTTTACTCCCAATCCAGTCCCCCCTCCCACCCTCCCCACTTCCCTCCCATTACCACCCTCCCCTTAGTCTATGACCATGTGTCCTTTAAGTTTGTTCCTGTAAACCCTTCCCACTGTCCCCTTAAATTCCCTCTTCTCTCCCCTCCGGTCACCATCAGCAAGAGGAAAGTATTCTGATTTAACCAATTCACACTAAAGTATAAATAACAGCCCCATAATTTCTCAAAGATACTAAAAATGCTTATAATGTCAATCAATTTTTTAAAGTGACATTTCTGGCAGTAGAGGAGAAAAATTATGGGATAGGGGTTATATATGCCAGGTCGGCCTGGTACTCTATCTAAGTAGATCTTATTTTTCACAACTTTTTCCTTTCTTCCACTTTTCCCCCCATAGGTTTTCTAAAAGCCCCACAATTTTTCACAGTGGCAGGCAAAGTGAGGGCTTCAGCAAGGTAGGGGCAGGAATGGGAAGAATTGTTTGTGTGTCTGGGTTATCTGGAAGTTGGGTGTTGGGAAGAATGGCTCTGGTATATCCTTTTCACTGTTCCATCTAGGAATTTCTTGCTTTATGGACCTTTGTTGCCATCCAGCTCTTTGCCCCTCTCTCTCACTGTCTTTCTCTCTTTCCTCACTTTTGTATATGTGTCTCCTCCTTCCCTCAGGGAGGGAACCCTCCATCTCAAGTGATACTCGAACAGATTCCTCAACGGAGAGCTGTCCCTACAAACACTCCCACCATGAATCTGTGGTCAGTCACTTCTCTTCTGATTCTCAGGGGACAGTCATCTATAATGTGGAGAATGATTCCACGTCTCAGAGCAGTCGGGACACAGGTAGGGACTCATGCAGTGGATCCTGCTTGTTCCTGCAGAAAGGGTTTCCAAGAAAAAGAAATTGGTTGGGACAAGTCAGAAATGTTTGTCATGCAAAGACAGGAAGGAATAGAGCTCTAGTAATTGAGTGGGATCAAAATAAGCAACACAATTCTGAATGAACAGTGATGTTCCATTGCAAATATTCCTGTCAACAGCAGTGTACTGGTAAGGGCAATTGTTATGTGATTCTTTTTTAAAGGTTTTATTTATTTATTTTTAGAGAGAGGGGAAAGGAGAGAGAAAGAGAGGGAGAGAAACATCAATGTGTGGTTGCCTCTCACGCGCCCCCTACTGGGGACTTGGCTAACAACCCAGGCATGTGCCCTGACTGGGAATTGAACCAGCGACCCTTTGGTTTGTGGGCTGGCACTCAATCCACTGAGCCACACCAGCTAGGGCTGTGATGCGATTATTGATGTGATAGTTTATTCTAAAATCTAATCTGTTTTTCTTCTGCTGTGCTTTTAATCCCAGTCCTGTCCTTCTCATAGTGCTCCATTGAACTCTTGTGGTCTTGTACCTCATGACGTTCTCATGCCAGGCTTTGTCCCAAATTAAGGGCTTTGAGAGAAGGGGCATATTATGGGAAGGGGACACCTGCTTATCACCTTGCTAGGCTTCCTGAAGGACAGAGACACATAAGAATGAAAGCTTGCCTGTTTGTTATTGTGAGTTCCATGCAGAGAACATTCTTAAATTTTTTTGTTAGTCTACTCAGAATGTGCCCATGTCAGTGGAAAAAATCAATATAGGGAATAAAAGGAAGAACAGTGAACAAATGACTGCTCAGATGAAAATTATCCCCCAAGGGGTAGAACTTGGGAATTAGTGAGTTCATGGTGGCTTATATTCTGTGCATGGCCCCTTTTTAAAATAGAGAAGTTCAAATGTATGCAGACATATACAGAATAGCATACTGCCCATCTGTGTACCCATCACCTAGTTTCAACAATTATAACTCATAGCCAATCTAGTTTCATCCGTGCCTCTACCCACCTCCCCTACTTCTGGATTATTCTGAATATTCTGGATTATTCAAATCCCAGACATGTCACCTTTTTCATAAATGTTTAGTATGTATATCTAAAATATAAGAAATCATTTTAAACATACCATTATCACACTTAAAAATATTAACAGTAGCTCCTTTAAACCACTAAATAACCAGTGAGTGTTTAAATATCCAATTTTCTTATAAATGTCATAACTTTTTAATGGTTTGTTTGTTTGACTCAGAATCAAAATGAGGGCTACATATTGCAATGGGTTAAGTCTTTTGTGTTTCTTTTGATTTATAGGTTTCTCTTATTTTTTCCTTGCAATTTATTGTTGAAGAACTAGGTAATTTGTCCTGTAGATTCCCACACTCTAAATTTTGTTGATTGTGTTCCTGTGGTAAACTTTAGCACATTTCTCTGTGCTCTGTAGTTGTTATAAGTTGGTGGTTGGATCTAGAGGTTTGGTCAGATTCACATTGGATTACTTTTGATGACTATTGCATAAATTACTACTGCAAAGTGTGATATTTTTAAAACCATATTTCTAAAACTGTGAACTAGGGAGAAGATAAGTCACAGGATAAATAAAGCATATGTTCCAGGATATTCAAGTTTATATTAAAGGTTTGTGAATGGCTGGGGGTAGGGGAGCATGTCTCCATTAGTTTAGCATTTGTACTTCCAGTAGCTCCAAGTTATTTCCTCCTTTCTTAAATCTCTCTTATGGGTCCAGAGGTAGCAAAGGATCAGAAAAAGCAATAAAAGATTGCATCAGTAAATGTAGCCATATCACTATATTGCTGGTACCTGAATATGCAAAAGGATTTTCATATGCTAACATATGAAACAAAAATTTTTAAATTTCTTTTTCCCTAAGATTTTATTTATTTATTTTTAGACAGAGGGGAAGGGAGGGAGAAAGAGAGGGAGAGAAACATCAATGTGTGGTTGCCTCTCGCGCTCTCCACACTGGGGAACCTGGCTTGCAACCCAGGCATGTGTCCTGATTGGGAATCGAACCAGGGACCTTCTACTTTGCAGTCCAGCAGCACTCAATCCACTGGGCCATACTAGTCAGGGCTGAAACCAAATTTTTGTTAACTCTTAATGCATTTGAGAACCTAGGGGATTTTCACTAAGCCTGCCTTTCAACTTAATTCAGTTGCTTAATTCACTTCTGGCCCCCAGCATCTTAGATGATTATAGCTTTTGGAATCTGACCTTTGCTGTTGTCAAATCATACTCATATATTTGTATACACTGGGCATGAAGGAAGGCAAGTTATATAAAAAGCCCAGATCTTCTGGGTTTCCCAGCAATTTGTATTGAGGAACTATGAAGTATAATCATTTGGTGAAACATGGTTGGGGATAGGAATGAGAATTATTCAAAGTTCAGATGTTCTTTTAAGTGATTCACACTTAAGAAAGGTTTAGAACTGGGTCTTAAAGCCATACACCATCAGAGCTCTTGTGAGCAGGGACTGGGACACCAGAGATAATACCAGATGTAACAAAAATTAGGCTTTACTTGGTATGTGTTGATAACTAAACAAAAGGAAAGCTTTGTCTTCTATTTATAAGCGTGAAAATACATTGGTACATGACATTTTTATACAGTCTTTAAAACTTTTACCTTTTAAAAAGTATCAAGTAATGTGTTCTTAAGATTACTGGAAAAAATTAGGGGTAGGGATTGAGACTGGTAATTGCTCAGGAAACACTGTAAATTTGGAAGCTCCCATTAACTACTTGAGCTTCTTTGTATTTATCTATTAAGAGATTCCTGCCATATTTAAATCTGGTAGCTGTAATCCCCGCAGCTCTCGATCCACGGGCGCACTAAATGTGTGCCACTGCCATGAATCCCAAAGGGAGAGTAGCTTCTCAAGAGGATGGAGGTCAGTCTCAGATACCAGCTTACCCCCATTTCCTTGTTCTTTTAGGACACCTGACTGATAGTGAATGTAATCAGAAACTGACATCCAAGAAAGGGTCTCTGATAGAGCGCAAGAGAAGCTCTGGCCGGGTTAGGAGGAAAGGCGATGAGCCACAGGCCTCAGGGTACCACAGTGAAGGCAAGCCACTCTGCATTACTTCTCTTTCTAATTCACTTTATCAGACTTGTCACACTTCAGACTGTGGCTTCTATTTTCTGCTCAGAGAGCTTTCCTTGCTTTCTCAGCTTTGGGATCTGGGTATCCACAAGTACTTTAAACATTTATATTTGTTTCATTCTTTGGTTTTTAGGAGAAACACTGAAAGAGAAGCAGGCTCCTAGGAACACCTCTAAACCATCCAGCAGTACCAACAGACTAAGAGATTTTAAAGAGACAGTTAGTAATATGATCCACAGCAGACCATCCCTGGCTTCTCAGACCAACCTAGGATCTCCTTTTGTGGGAAAAGGAGGAGACCAGGTGGACAAAAGACCTCCTAGAAACCTACCTTTACAGCCTCGTGATTGGGAAATAGAGAGCACTAGCAGTGAGTCAAAATCCAGTTCTTCCAAGTATCGTCCAACATGGAGACCCAAACGGGAATCTCTGAATATTGACAGTATCTTTAGTAAGGACAAAAGGAAGCACTGTGGCTATACGCAGCTAAGCCCATTTTCTGAGGACTCAGGTGAGAACATAATTAGGGAAGCATCGGGCTTCAGAATAAAGATGATTTATGTATTTTAAAAACTTGGGGTTTTTTGTAGATTTGACAAGGTTCATTTTTACCCCAGTGTTGGGTCTTTTGGGGATAAAAGTTCAGTAAAGGAATAGCTGGAGGGAGGTATTAGTTATGTCTTGATTTGAGGCAGATGCTAAACCTACTTCCCTTTTCATATTTGTCCTTTGACTGGGATAGCTAAAGAACTTACACCAGATGAACTAAGCAAGCCACCTGCTTATGACTTTAAAACTGGTGGGCCAACCCCTCAATACAAGCCTTGGGTCCCAGCAAGGCCAGGCTCTCACGTTTTAGAGCAGCACCCTCGCCTCATCCAGCGAATGGAATCTGGCTATGAGAGCAGTGAAAGGAACAGCAGCAGCCCTGTCAGCCTGGATGCAGCCCTGCCTGAGAGCTCGAGTGTCTGCAGGTATTGTTTGGACTTTGAATATCGGCATTGTCCCTAGCAGCAGCGTGAGCCACCAAGAGCCTTATCAATTCAGACAGTGGAGAGGGGCACTTTAGTACCGTCTTATGGGCGGTTTGCTCTAGCAACTTTCTATGGCAACAGCTCCCTCTGCTGGGAGAAACAGCAAAGGCATTTGAGAAAGGAGAGGCAACTTTAAAAGTATTATATATGAAATAATTATTTAGTAAATAACTTTTAATAAAAGAATAAATTAATGAATCAAAACTTATGTAGTCCTAAGATCAGAGACAAAGTCCAATTGTTATTTATTCTTGCCTTTCATTTTTAGGATAGGTTTTTTTTTTTTCAGGTCACTGGGCACCCTGTGTTTTATGAAGCCAATGATATTCATAATGTCATAAGATAACAATGACAGTTTAATAGTCCTCATTGCACCCTGTTCATAGGGCCCAGTTTGCTTAAAAATTTCAGATCTTCATGTATTGTTTTTACTGAGTTGCCACAGAGGCAAGTTTCCTGACAGTACAGCTACTTTGGAAGGAGTGATTGCCTCTTCTACAGGGTGATAACCACATCCTCATACTTTAACATTGCTCTTCCCTGGCCACTTGACCCTGTTTAGTTTTATACATTAGAAGATGCTAGAAAGGTATAAGAAAGAGGAAATCAATCCATATTCATTAAATAAATTTTGTGCCAGACACTGCACTAGATGTACAAAGTGGATTGAGGTGAGATAAGATGGGGTAATGAGTGGGTATTTCAGTTTGTCTAAAGTAGTTTAGCAGATACTTTCATTGTATTAATTCAATGCTTTGTTGGTGTTTTGAGGGAATTTGTCCTAGGAATGTTGCTAGTTATCACCTTCTGCTGCTTTCACTAGATTCTGGTTTCTCTTTTGAAGGGATCCAAGTGCTAAGAGATCAGCTGTGTTAGCACCTTCCTGGCGTCACATCCCAAAGTCTTACAGCAGTAGCATCCTGGAGGCGGACTCCACAGCCTCCAGGAGTGGTTGGACAAAGAATCAGCTCCTGTCAGGTAAGCAAAAGAACAATAGATTTGGAGGACTTGATTTGTCTGCCAATTTTGTTTAGGAAACAGCCTTACCTGAGAACATCTGAAATTACAGGACAGTTGCACTTGCACTTTGAGTATTCTATCAGAATGTAGATGTGGAGGCTTTTGAGCTGCTCCATCTTTGGGTTATCTATTTTTTATTCACCACAGCTTGACTAATTATTTCTTTCTACCTTGGAGAGCCCCTTTGTGTGAGCGGGAGGAACAGACATTTGATGAACAGTGTCAGTAGCATCTGCATTCCTTAGAAGGATCAGTCCTAGGGCTTTCCTTGGTATAGAGGCAGCCGCTTGGGAATGCATTTCTTATTGTTTAATACCATGAATCTAGATAACACAGGGGGACATGCATACTGTGGGCAAAACTGGGAAGTAAACAGGTCAAACCTACCCCTATCCCTGCCTCTATAGCCTGTCCAGTACCTGGTTTTTGTTCTGCCTTTCTTGAGTATGCCTTGTATCCTCATACTCCTTTTCAAAACAAGCTCTCAAGTGATAATTTGACTCCTTCACATTAAACATAAGTGACTGAAAATAGTTAAAATATACTTTCTATGAGAGAAAGGAATACTGGGGTTTTGAGATTTGAGGTAGTCATAGGTTTTAGCTCCATTTTACATTTCTCTCACAACACAATATATACTTCTAGTGCATATTCTGCTTAAGCAGAGACCCAGTCTAAATGGGTCAAAATAAATCCTTAGAGCTGAAAATTGATGTGACAACTAGACAGTGTCCCCAATATGGAGACTTTGGAATACCTAAGGGAAGATGGTTGAGTAGACAGTATTATTTAGTCTGCTGAGGAATTCTGGGAACTACTAACTTAGCAGTCAGTTTTGTCTGAAAGATGTGTTTCATTCCCTTTTTTGTGGTCTGTTAGATCAATTAGGAGTAGGATATGTAGGCAGAAACCTAACTATGGTCTGATTTAATGAGCTTGTGGATGTAGATCTTACCAACTTACTAGAGAGAAGAGGACAGAATACCATGTGTCAGCCTGTAGAGATGAGACCAGGCACATTACTAGTCTGACCACCAATTCTCTTGATAGCCACTTAGAGATAGCTAGAATGGAGGTATGCAGCTATAATAAAAAGGCATGAACTGTTTTATGTATGGGTGCTATAGGTTGCTGACATCTGGCAGAGCAAAATAATGCTTATAGAGTATCTCTGAAAGTGAGTATCTCTGACAGTAAGTATCTCTGAAATCCTGGGCTGGAGTACGTTATAATTAGAAACCCATAGAAGAAATTCATGCCTCCTAATGAAGTCATATGTTTGATTTATTAAAATTCATACATTTTAATTTATTGTGTGTTGACTAACATAGTTTTGAGAAACTTGTGATCAGCATGAGGCTATTGCCCCTTTTCTTTTCTTCAAATAGCCAATGCTGTTTCAGCACACTAAGGACTTAAATCCTATGATTTCTTTAATGGTTTTAATTCTGGATTGGCTGGATAGAATTCACCAATATGATTCCTCAACTGGTAAAAGAGATTTAGCAAGGACTTGGAACAAATTTCTCACACGCCATACTACTTCACCATCCTCTTTCTATCATGAACCTTACTTATGCCTTACAACTTGATCCAATCATAATAGCCTGGCATAGAACAAATATTTTTATCTGGTAACTTTGATCACTCTTTTAAAAAGTTACATAAGTAAGGACTTCCGACGAAGATGGAAGTGTAGGTAGATACACTGTGCCTCCTCACACGACCAAAAGAAGAATGACAACAAATTTAAAAACCACAAATAACCAGGACTGCCAGAAAATCAAACTGTATGGAAGTTTGACAACCAAGGAGTTAAAGAAGAAACATTCATCTAGACTGGTAGGAGAGGCGGAGACAGGCAGCCAAGGCGGAGAGGACTCGAGGCAAGGCAGTGGTCCCACATTTGTGGATATACCAGGAGAAACAACTGGAGAATGGGACAGACCACACAGCCCAGGGTTCCAACGCAGAGAAATAAAGCCTCAAAACCTCTGACTGTAAAAACTTGTGGGGGTTGTGGCGGCAGGAAAAACTCCCAGCCTCACAGGAGACTTCTTTGGAGAGACCCACAGGGTCATAGAATGTACACAAACCCACCCACCCACCCAGGAGTCTGCACCAAAAGGGCCCAATTTGCTTGTGGGTAGTGGGGAAAGTGATTGAAAGCCAGCCAAGAGCCCAGCAGTCGGCATTGTTCCCTCTCTGACCCCTACCCACATACAGCTTCACAACGTAGTGACAGTGGGTTGCCCTGCCCGGGCAAATACCTAAGGTTCTGCTTCTTACTATGTACCAGGCATGCAGAGAAAAAAAATGTGGCCCAAATCAAAGAACAGATCAAAGCTCCAAAAATAGAACTAATCAATGGAGAGATAGCCAACCTATGAGATGCAGAGTTCAAAACACTGGTAATCAGAATGCTCATAGAAATGGTTGTGTATGGTTGCAAAATAGAGAAAGAAGTAAAGGCTAAGCAAAGTAAAATAAAAGAAAATGTACAGGGAACTAAGAGTGATGGGAAGGAAACTGGGACTCAAATCAACAATTGGGAGCAGAAGGAAGAAATAAATATTCAACCAGAACAGAATGAAGAAACAAAAAAAAATTAGGAGAGACTTAGGAACCTCTGGGACAACTTTAAATATTCTAACATTTGAGTCATAGGAGTTCCAGAAGGAGAAGAGGAAGAGCCAGAAATTGAAAACTTATTTGAAAAAATAATGAAGGGGGACTTTCCTAATCTGGCAAAGGAAATAAACTTCCAGAAAGTCCAGGAAGCCCAGAGACCCCCAAAGAAGTTGGACCCAAGCAAGCACATACCAAGGCACATTATAATTACATTACCCAAGATTAAAGATAAGCAGAGAATCTTAAAAGCAGCAAGAGGAAAGGAGACAGTTACCTACAGAGGAGTTCCCATCAGACTGTCAGCTGATTTCTCAAAAGAAACCTTGCAGGCAAGAAGGGGCTGCAAAGAAGTATTCAAAGTCATGAAAAGCAAGGACCTACATTCAAGATTACGCTATCCAGCAAAGCTTTCATTTCAAATGGAAGGGCAGATAAAGTGCTTCCCAGATAAGGTCAAGTTAAAGGAGTTTATCATCACCAAGCTGCTATTATATGAAAAGTTAAAGAGACTTGTCTAAGAAAAAGAAGATGGTAAAAAATATGAACAGTAAAATGACAACAAACTCACAGCTATCAACAACTGAACCTAAAAATAGAAACAAAAACAAACTAAGCAAACAACTAGAACAGAAACAAAATCACAGAAATGGAGATCACATGGAGGGTTATCAGTGGGGAGAGAGGGGGAGAACGGGGGGAAAGGCATAGGGAATAAGTAGCATAAATGGTAGGTATAAAATAGACAAGGGGAGGTTAAGAATAAATAGTATAGGAAATGGTGAAGCCAAAGAACTTATATGTATGACCCATGGGCATTAACTAAGGTGGGGGATTGCTGGTGGCAGGGGGGATGCAGAGTAGGGGGGAATAAAAGGGAGGAAAAAAATGGGGTAATTGTAATAGCATAATCAATAAAATACACTTAAAATAAAAAAAATTACATGAGTAAAATAAATCCAATCATACAGTAACCTGCCTGTTGCCTCTTTAAATTGAAGGTACCAGTGTTATGGTTATGGTATACAGTGATGCCTCAGCTGTTGCAGGAGTTACATTTCAGAGACCTCCTCCATAGGTGAAAGTCCAAGAAGTAGCAGCATTATATTTTTCTATTATTTATATATATTTTAAGGCTTTATAAGCCCTTCCCACACTCCTATAAACTTTTCCCACTCTCTTATTAACCTTATCACACACTCTTATAAACACTTCATATGCTCTTAAACACTCTCTACACTCTTAAACCTACGTAATTTTAACAACATATGAAACTCTATATGGGTACTCACCAGTGAAGTATACTACAACTTGAATGATGAAGATCATGAATTCTGTAGCTGTGCAGTACTGATGGCGATGAAGGTGATGACAATGAGGTGAATGCACTGCACAGCCAAGAAGAGCAGTACCGCTCTTCTGAAGGCACCACTTCATCAGGTGCTTCATCAGGTGGTGCAGTATCTTCACCCTGGGCCGGAACTTCTGTTTCCTCTAAAGGCGTAGGCGTAACTGATCTCTTTGGCCGAGTGATGAACATAGTTATGGGGAGTTGCTGGCGCTGCTTTTTATCTGTAGAGGCAGCTTCTCCATGTAGAGAAATGCTCTTGAATGGGGTTGGTCTGTTGGGAGAAGCACCCAATGGTCTTGCTTCTGCGTCATTGTCCTCTTCTTCATCCTCGTCACCGTTGTGAACGTCAGTGCTTTCTGCAAAACTAGCATAAAGTTCTTGGCCTTTGTCCAGATGGTGTTGGTATCCAGTGAGATATTCTTCTTCCTGCAGTCATTTACCCACAGGGCCAATGGAGACTCCATCCTCACAATGGCCTTATTGTGGGAAGTGACCACCCTCTTTGCAGTCTTGTTAAAAGTCATTGTTGCCGTAGACCTAATATTCTTCTCATCTCTCTGTATGTAGCAAACAGTAGATTCGTTGATCCCATAATGGCGGCCTACAGCCACGTAGCTTTTGCCTTCCTTTAACATGTCGAGAAGTTCTACCTTTTCTTTGATGGTAAGCATATTCCTCTGGCACTTGGTTTCACTGCCAGAAGCCTTAGAAGGCACAGAACATTTGGGTGGCATCGTAGGACTTGAAATAAATTAAAACTTTTACGAAAATTTCACAAAAACACAGCACCACAGAGCAACACTGTGCTCAGAGATCAGATGTCAATGTGAAGTGGACAAGGAGAGATGCTGAACTGTGGGCTCAGTGCGTGAGAGCAAACAGACGATGCTAGATCACCGAGCCAATCAGCACCCAGGATACAGAACACAGTGCTGTGGTTGGTCGCCTTCCATTCCATCAGCCAATAGTGTGCCGTGTACAATCTCATGTTGGCAAACTTGCACAAGCAGTAGTGGTGTACTGCATTTCCATTGTGTACAGTAAGGTACTCATCCCCTGATGAAATACATATTGTATTTTGTTTTGATTTAAATTCTTTTAATATGTTTGAATTAACATTTTATATTTTTATATTGTTTTAAATTTTTTTGGCAAAAATAATTAAAGTCATAAATATTATATAAATACCTATATACTGCAAAATCCCATGATATAGTGAAAACTCCGTGATACAGAATTAAATATATATATTTTGAAAAACCCATGATACTGTGAAGCTGCAGTAAGAGAACCATGATATAGTGAGGGATGACTGTTATATCTTTAAAATGAAGTCATACTATACCTATTATTCTGTTACTTGAGTTTTCACTTAATATAACATGGACATCCTTTTAGATCTCTAAACACTAATTAAATTTTTACTACTATGGACATTTTACAAACATGGAAGAGATGGTAGAAATTAATGGTGAGAAATTGACTTGCTTGAAGCTTCCCAATTAGTCAGTGGCAGCATGTAGTAGAGAATGCTCCCTAATGGTTAAGAGAGAGCGTGGATTGTTAATTTAACCTATCTCACTTTATATAAGTTCACTATTTACCATCTCTGTAACCTTTGGCAAGTTATTTTACACTCCATGTGGCTCAGTTTCTTCATTTCTAAAATGTGGGCAAAAATAGTATTCTCATTAAGTTGTTGTGAGAATTAAATGAAATACTATACGTAAAAGTGCTTAAAACTGTGCCTGTTACATGGTAAATGCTCAACAAATGGTAGTTATTGTTGTTATAAAACACTCAATGAAAGTTGTTTATTATTATTATTATTATTCACAACCCAGGTCTCACCCTGAATCTGATATGAAAAGCAATATTCAAAGCATGAACTCCATACCAAAGCCAAGAGTTCCAAGGGAAAGCCGTGCAGTGGTGGTAACTGCCAAAGGTGCTTAGTCTTGGTTATAGAAATGTGGTAATTTCTCTTTTCCCTTACTTGTATTCTAGGTGGGGAGATATCTTCCAAAAGTGAACTAGATGAATTGCAAGAAGAAGTGGCCAGGAGGGCCCAGGAACAGGAACTTCGAAAGAAACGGGAGAAGGAATTAGAGGCAGCTAAAGGGTTTAACCCTCATCCTAGCCGCTTTATGGACTTGGATGAACTGCAGAATCAGGGTAATTGTGGTCGATATGAATGTCGGTGATGGGGACCATGAAAGAGGAAAGAAAAAAAATACAAATACACTAAGCTCATAAATTCCTCGTCTTCACTTTAGCAAAATTATATTGTATCTTAATTCAGCCATTTCAGTGAAGTAGAAGGTAACAGGCCTATTGATTGGAGACAGGCACTAATTTTGAGCCCATTTATTTAAAGCCTATAGATTAGAGATAGTGTGTTGTATGAAAAATAGGTGTTCCAGGAACATCTATAGAAAGAGTAAATAAAACTAGTTTCAAGTCAGAAACAGCAGCAAAGGGCACTGGGCAAGCCACACTGACAGTGAGGAGAATTCTACTTGTGGGGAGAACATGCCCTCAAGATTTCCCATTGGAGCTCTTGGGACATCAGTCTACTGAACAGGTTCTAAGAACAGAGACTGTGAGTGCCTTTTGATCCTCTGAGGATCCATTTTCCAATCTCATGTGTTTTTCATGGACTTTACTTAAGCTTCTCTAACTGCCCCACATTAGTCACATTCGTTTTCAGTTGCTTTAGGAATACTTTGTACCAGAAGAGACTAGCCTTCAAAATAGGAGTTCAAAGAAGCTGAGATATCTATCTTAAATAGATACTGAAACCTATATCTGTTTTATTTTTAATAAAATGAATTTATTATTTAGAATCACTGGATGTACCAAATTGTGTTAAACCATTGTGAAGAATATGAGTCAATGCTAATTTGAGTGGCTGATTCCTGTTGATCATTTCCCTCTTTTTATCAATATTAAGATGCTCCCTGGGCTAATTTGGGGGCCACTTTCTCCTCTAATCCTACAGTCTTTTGATTCAAGTTAATTGTTGACTTTTATTTACCAAGGCATTGTATTTGTTTCCAAATCAGTTTTCAAGTCCTAATTCCTCAGCTGTCCTTACATTTGGGTCATCTTCCCTTTTATCCTCAAGCTATATCACATTGGTATGTCAGGTTTATATTGCTTTTGAAGGAATCATCTCCCTCCCTTGCCTTTTTCCCCCCTTCTGCCTTTAGAGTAGTAAGTGCATTAAAGTTGAGAGGGAATCCCTCTGGCTGTACTTCATTGTCAATTCTCCATACACTTTGGTTTAGCTTCTCCTGGGAAAGCAAGAAATGGAGTGCTAAGATTCTAGAGGATAAGAATTAAAATCTAGTACAGCGATGAGTCAACTACAGTTTACCTAATCTTTGTAGAGAATTTTGTTTTAATGGCTGTAGCCACCACCTATTATTATAAAGGTTGTATATAATCAGTAGACTTCAAATATTATGAGAACACTTCAGGCCTGGAGTTTGGGGAGAACTACATCTCTGGAGGTGGCATAGAACCTGAGTGCCAGGTTCTTCAGAACTAACTCACTACTTCCACCACCTTCCCATTACTCTTCAAAAGCCATGGTAAATTAGGGAATGAATGTTAGAGGTGCGGAAGAGCCATTCTTACCATTCCAACTTAAGGTAAGTGGAGGGTTGAGACATTGTGGTAGAAGTGACTCTGACATTTTAATTTTTTTTCCTTTGAGCTTGGGAAAACTCACCATTAATCCTAATTGTAGGTGAACTTATAGCTACTACCAATTTATGGTTATGAGTGAGTAAAAGGTACATAAGCTTTAGGATTCTTTCACAAAAATTGCCCTTACAGTACTTTCTTGCTTTTTCATCTGGCTCTGTACTTGGACTCTCCTGCACCTGCTTTGGCACACTTTCACTTTCAGGGGAGGAAGGAGTACCTCATGCTCTCTGTTTGGGAAGGTAACTTTTGTGAAGTAGGTTTGGTGAGCAAGGGCATGATAAAAGTAAATACTTAGCAGTGCTGATGAAAAGTATGTGCTTGCAAACCAACAACAAAGGCAGTTCAACAGATGTATTGAGGTTAGGAACTGTTAACTACCCGTGCCCAAGAGCTGTACTGATTTTTCAGTTGAGGGTGGTGTAGAGAGGACTGTGATTTGATATAGGAATGAAGTGTTAACAGATGGCTTTCCACAGAGTAGTGAAGCCACTTTTGCCTTAACCTAGCAGTTGAGGTCTCAGTGGAGATCTCGGGCATTCTGATACTGGTTGGCAAGATGTATCTTGTTGCACTGTGGAAGGGCAGGTCTGTAAAAGTATAAGAATTCACCCTTCTGCTATAGACAGTACTTTGTTCTTTCCTTGAGGTCTTGGAGTTGGAGTATGTGGTGGACAAAAATATACCCTCTTTTATGCCTTGGGCAAGGTGTTAGTTAAGGCAAAAATGGATGTCCTACTTGTTTCAGAGAATTCTTAATAGCAATGGACAATTGGAATAAGGGTAGAACAAAGGCTCAGCAGCAAGGATCTGTGTGCACTGAAAGGAAACAACAGTACATAGGAAAAGTTGGAACCAATTGTAATGAAAATGAAAAGTGCTGGCCCTTTCAGGGAGGAGTGACGGCTTTGAGAGGTCCCTGCAAGAGGCAGATTCAGTATTTGAAGAGTCGCTGCACCTGGAACAGAGGGGAGACTGTGCCGCAGCTTTGGCTCTCTGTAACGAAGCTATCTGTAAGTAACTCTAACCAGTATGCCTATGGCACTTTTGATTACCTTCATAACAGGTATTATTAGTGTCGGCACTCAGATGGAACAAAAGCAGCTTTTATGTCTCCTCCTTTACTCTCCCAAACCGAGAGGCCCTTTAGCTAGCTGTCTTTGCCCTTCAGATTTGTAAGTGTGCCAGGTGCTGTCACTGTGGCCTATAGATATTTACTGGAATAACCAGGAGTCCACAGATGAATGACTACCCAGCCATGCCTACCTTCTTATCCCAAGATAAATTAGACCTCATCTGTGAGGTTAGTTTGCTCTTTCTCTAGTCACTGCCCAGTGAGGTGCAGCTTTTGGAAGGAAGAGAGTAATAAATTGGCTGTGACTTCCCAAGCCTGTGACTTTGCACTGCATATTTAATTCTTCATGTTCCTCCCCTACCTGATATGCTGATAACCATTAGGTTATAGCAAGGGACTAAGGCTTAGAATTTGTATCTGGTTCTTAAATGTGACCCACAAGAAGTTGTGTTCTATAAAGACAGATGCAGGTTTGGATCTTATTTCTGCTGTTGGCTGTCAGGAAAGGGGAGTTGGGAGCGGAGTTTGGAGACCAGAGTCAGACAGGTCAGTTGCAAAAGATGAGTGGCAACCTCTAAGATGGAAGCACCAGTTTATCTTTTAAACTCATTTTAGTTTAGCTTTCGTTTGTTTGTTTTTTAAATTTGAATTAACCTGTTTGGCCTCCATGGCTTCTGTGAATGCTACTTATAGCCAGAGCCAGCTCTGTGCCCTGGACAGCACATGCATGGTTCACGCCTTACATTCCTGCTGCATATTTTGAGTTTTACTGCATATCTTTGCTCATTTTTTGTTCAATTTTATTCTTTTTATTTTTGTTTGTATTTTATGTTCTGTTTCTGCTATATTTTCTTTTGCATTTTAGCTAAACTAAGACTTGCCCTGCATGGTGCCAGCTCTAGCACGCACAGCAGAGCCCTAGTCGATAAGAAGTTGCAAATCAGTATTCGAAAAGCACGGAGCCTGCAGGATCGCATGCAGCAGCAGCAATCATCGCAGCAAACGTCGCAACCCTCAGCCTGCCTCCCCTCACAGGCAGGGGCCCTTCCTCAGCCAACAAGGTAGTGCCTGGGAACCACAGTAGTCGATGTGTGCCAGGGGAGGAAGTGGCCGTGGGCGCTCCGTGGCCAGAGCTCTCATTGTCTTGGCCGCTAGAGGGAAGAGAAGACTCCTCTGAAAAAATGTATTCTCTCAGGTCATACATGCAGTGAAAGCTCATCCCGCTGCTGGTCCTTTTCTTAATAGTTCCTAGAAAGGTAAAGAAAAGTATAGCATAATAAATAGACCACTTGTTCATATTTCCTGTGGGGGAATTTTTCCCTGGACTGGTGTAATAATAGGATTATTAAATCTGTACACATTAAGTTCTTAGACATGGCAATCAAGCTCCATTTCAGGTTGCAGTAGAAGCCAGGTGATTTGTTTTGAGGTTTTAGCGGCTTCTCGTCCCTCACAGAAGCAGAAAAAGAAGCCTTCCTTGCTTTGATGAAACCATAGGGAAGAAACACGAAGATTCCCTTTGTTTTGATCCCTGTGGTCAGGACTAGGAAAAAAGTTCCTGTGGCCATTGATGTCATTCTCACATTTAACCCTTGAATTTGGGTGTTACTTAAAACAAATAGATTTTAGTAAAAGTAAATTTTGGCTGTTAATAAACCTGAGTGGTTTTCAGAATATAAATATTATAAAAGCAGCTAACATTTTTTAAACATCTGCCTATACTCAGGCACTAAGTTTAAACACTTTATGTTTTATTTTCATTCTCATAATAACCTTAGGATTAGGACTATTTAGTAATGTATGTAAATAAAGAAATCAGGCTTAGAGGGTAAGTTAAGTAAGGTACCGAGTATTACTCAGCTAACAAGTTGTAGAAGTATGGAATTCAAATCCAGGTAGGTCTATTTGACTCCATTAGGTTTCCCATATAAGTATAATATCGTATTCTTCATAATGTTGTAAGGGTGACTGAATGACTGTATCCACAGAAGTTTGTAGTATATTGTTCAAATTTAATGTTCATAGCTAGGGTCCTTTTTCTCCCATTGTGTACTCCTGCAGTTGAACACTGATCTGAGAATCTGATCAGATATGTTTTGAATAGAAACAATTTAGGCAGATAAAGTCTTTCTAGAAAACTTAGGTCACTTGATGTATGTGAGTGTTCAAGGATTTATTTAAGTGCTTCTAACACAATTTTTAGGTCAGAAATACAAAGCATTTAGTGAGAAACCAACTAAATGCTGACTCCCACTCCCAAATTTGAAGACAGTGACAGTGCATTACTTTGGGGAAACATCTCAGTGAGCAATACAATCAAATCCAGATTATGAAAACACACTTGAAATAGTTGATTTTTATGTAATCTCATGAGCCCAAGCCATCCTGTACTCTGTAAATATGGCCTTTCGGTTCTTTTGGCTGTTCTGCCTCTCTGGACTCCAGGTATGAGTGATTTCTAGACTTTGCTTACTTTCCAGGTCATTTGCATGTGGAACTAGCAATTTTTGTTTTTTAATTTGCAAGTAAAATATGATTGGAATAGGACTTCACAGGTAGTGAAGAATACTGGCAAGGACTTTACTTAATATTACTCTGTGAAACTTTGATGAGGGCATGTATTAAAGAGGATTAATATTACCAATTATTTGGGTGGAAGCAGACCATGTGCCTTCTCTCGTGAACCTCTGAACTGTTGACTATACTTGTCTCATCTTTGCATTTATTTTCACCATTCCCTCTGTGGTTAGCTAGATATGGAAACTGAGTGAAAAGTTTTTTGTAAGTGATCTTGTCAATCAAGACAGTTTATGACTGGCTCTCTCTATTTATTTCAGTGAACAGCCTATCCCGCTCCAAGTATTGTTAAGCCGGGAGGCACAACTGGAACCCTACACGAATACAGAGTTTGGGGCCAGTTCTTTTGTCTACTCATCTGCTTCCTGCCATGAATCACAGTCACCACTCTTTCCAGAGTCATCTACCCTGTCTGCCCCACAGCATAATTCCCCCAGTAGGTCTGCCTCAAACCCTCTTACTTCAGTGGAGGTGGATAGCATTGACCCCTCTGTGTTGCACAGGCAGTGCTCACCTAAAACACCAGGGACAACTGAGAAGAACTCTCATCATGGTTGGGAACCATTAGATATACCAGAGGGTAAGCTGCAAGGCTACAGGGCTGATAACAGCAGCTGCAACAGGTTTCCCCCTCAAGAAGGAAGAGACATTGATCAAGAAGAGCTATTCCAAGAAAAGAGGGATCCTGTTGACTCATCCCAGGTGATAGCTTGGTCACACCCAACTGGAATAGCCACCAATGAGAAAGATGATGCACACCGCCTAGCCTGTAGTCTTGTAAGTTCATCAGCTCAGCCCAACCTTCCCCTTTACAAAGCCTGCCACCCTGTAATGCCTGCTGCTTTTTCATCTGTGTTTCGCTCTCCTGATACTGTGCAGAAAACTAACCAATGCCTCCAAGCCAAAAGCCTCAAAGCTTTGTTGACTTCAAAAGTGAATGGAGGCAGTGAGGAACTCTGTACGCCAGAATTTTCAGGCACTAAGGGGCTTGTCCGCTCTCTGGCAGAACAGTTCCAGAGGATGCAAGGTGCCACCACAAAAGATGGTACTGGTTCCCAGGACAGAAGTTTTCCAAATAGTCGAAGGAAGAACTCTTCCCCTTCTGACTCTAAGCCTCCTTTCCCACAGGGTCAAGGGAAAGGCCATTGGCCTTGGGCAAAACAGCAGCCCTCTATGAATAGTAGGGACAGACTGCCTTCCCGGGAAGAGCCTTTTGATCATCCTCCTCTTACCATGAACTCTGGGCTGCCCAGTGGTGAGACTGCTTGGGGAGGACAGCCCAGGTTGGCAGAGCCAGATACGTACCAAAAAAAGCCATCACAAGTAAGAGATGCTAGGCCTAAGGAGTTGGGCAGCAATGTTGACTTGGGAACTTCCTTGCCTTTGGATTCCTGGGTGAATGTCACAAGACTCGGTGACTCTCAGCTTACACATGGGGTCCCTGAGCCAGAAATAAAGTCCTCCCCTCCAAATTCCTATACCTGTGCAGCCTATCCAGACAGAAACCACATTCTTTTGCATCCACATTGGAACCAGGACACAGAGCAGGAGACCTCAGAATTGGAGTCTCTCTACCAGGCCAGTCTTCAGGCTTCTCAAACTGGCTGTTCTGGATGGGAGCAGCAGGATGTGGCCTGGTACCCACTTAGCCAAACAGGTAAGAATGCAACCAGGGATGGGGGAGTAGAGGACACACAAAAGCTTGAGGACAAGATCAGAGATGGGGTCATGTTCTGTCCAAATAGTATCCCCAGCTTAGGAGGTGGTAGTAGAACTTTTGACTCTCTCTATAAAGACTTCAGGACAAGGGCTAGACATTTTTCTGGTTAGAGTGAAGAATAAGAACAGAATCATCACTCATAGGCCAGTTGTCTCCTAAAGAAAGAGACCAAGGAGTATATGCCCAAGGCTTCTTCAGTATATGAGTCAGTGCTAAGGAATAGCTCATAGGTCTTTAAGAGTGATTCAGCATGGCATGGGTGAGGCTGGGAGGAAAAGCCATCCTTCCATGGTTAAGAAGATCCAGCTTCATCCCAAGATTCAGCTTCCAGATCCAGCTTCTAGATCCAGGACACAATGAAGATGTCCACATTGAGCCAAGTCTGCAAAGGGCGTTTCCAGATTATACTGAACCAGCAATCTCAAGACCTTCCCTGATCCCTTTAGGAACTGCGAGGTTTAGAATTTTCAAGGTAGTATGCCTGTGGGGTACCCATTTGCTGACTTTTCAAAAGTAGTGTGTGAAGAATGAAGTCTGCACCTTAAATGCACATCACAGACTTAGTTCTGGAAACTGAATAAATGAAGAATATTGATAACTTAGATTGATGCACTTAAGAATTTGAAAGCCTGAACTGTTATACTGGCTTCATCATTAATTGTAAGTATAAATTTGGACAACTCACTTAATATCCCAGGGCCAAGTTTTACCTATAAAAAAGAGAATTAATTCAATGATTTTTTAAAAGATATCTTCCAACTCTTAAAATATACATCATTCTGTGAAATTGAACTCAGAGAACTTTATCTTCAAATCAGGAATACTAGTTTCCATAATGGTATGGGTTCCTCGCATGCTACCAACCATCATTTAATTACAGCTAAACAACAGGTGTTTAATGAGTACCTACTATGTCCTGAGGAGCTCTTGGGAGTTATCACATAAATATGAGATTTGATATTATGATATTTTTTTTAGGATGTGCATCCTAGTGTAGACTTTGTAATAACGTGCATCTCTGAAGTGCTCCTTAGGTACACGGGGGCAGGGCAGTATGGGAAGAAGATTCTAAAGAATGAGGAAAAGCTGGAGTTGGCCACAGTTAGCTTCCTGTGTAATATAAAGGAGAAAGAATACACAAATGTCAAGTGTTTTAATAATAATCAACACATAGAATACATTACAAATAAAATATAATGAACTGTCAAACATTATACAAAAACAAAGTGAAACAAAAAAACCCCTTATATTACCCAAAATAGCAACATGTTTCATTGTGTATAGTCTTGAAATATTTAAAGCAATAAAGATTATTGATAATCCCACTTTTCAAATTTCATGAGTTTACATCTAGCTTTTTATACATATTTACTATATATTTTGCTTTATTTTTACAAAAAGCAGGATTATGATATGATTAACTATTCAGGCTATTTCCAATTTGTTAATAACATTATACTATAATGAATATCTTTAAACTTAAGTGTTTGGCCACATTTCTGATAAGCTCCTTAGAATAAATTTTTAGAAAAGTAATAATTAGTTGAAAGTTATAAACTTTAAAAAAATGTCTTGATATTTACTGGCAAATTAGCCTTCAGGAAGATTATATTCCTAAAATCATTATGAAAGTGTACCTACCAACCATTAATTTTTTTCTTTGACAGTGAACAAAAACTAATTTAAAAAATCCATCTAATGAATCAGTTATCAAAATACTTGTCAAACCAACTGGACTTTGGAGGAATCCTTTATCTTATTGTAAAGCATTTATTAAGCACCAAATTACTGGTACTTTTTTTTCAGTTCTTTATTGATACATAAAATGACAGATAACATTGTGTACATTTAAGGTATACAATGTGATGGTTTGATACACATATTCACTGCTAAAAGATTACCACAGCAACATTAGTTAACACAACCATACCACACATAGTAAAATATTTTTGTGGTAAGAACATTTAAAAGCTACCCTCTTAGCAGCTTTCACATATGTAATACAGTGTTGTTGGCTGTAGTCATGATCCCCAGAACTTATAGCTGGAAGTTCATACCCTTTGACTAACATCTCTTCAGTTCCCCCAGCCCCTGACAACTACCATTCTATTCTCTGTTTCTATTAGTTCATCTTTTTTAATTTTTTAGATTCCACATATAAAATCATACAGTATTTATCTTTCTCTGGCTTATTTTTAAAGCTTTATTTATATATAATTTACACATCATAAAATTCACCTAAAATGTACAATTCAACAGATTTTTATTGTATTCACAGAGTTGTCTGTCCATCACCACAGTTGATTTTAAAGTGTTTATCACCCCCAAAAGAAAGCTCATACCCATTAGTAGTCACTCCCCATTTCCTCCTTCCCCTTCTCCCTGCACCAGGCAACTTCTCATCTATTTCCTGCCTGCTATAGATTTGCTTATTTCAGACGTTTTACATAGGTGGAATCATGTAGCATACTGTGTTTGAGACCAGATTATTGACATGTTATAGTTCCTAAAGAGTTGTGCAAACACTGCCCTTGACCTATATTCTAAATTTCATAGTACTATGGAATTGGGCACACTTCATCTTAAAAATAAAAAATAACTTTTTGTCATGGTATATTCAAAAGTTAAGAGTAAGAGTAAATGTTATACACCTTCTCATGTACTTATCACTACCCTTGCATGGTGATTATTTTGGCCAGTTGTTAATATATGGCCAATAATTGATTTAGCTATAGCACCCTCCCCTTTCCCTTTCCCACTGGATTACTTTAAAGCATATCCCAGACATTATATCATTTATCCATAAATAGTTTAGAATCTTTCTCAAAGAAATAAAGACTTTAATTTTAATTTTTATTTATTGATGAGAGAAAGAGAAATATTGACCTGTTGTTCCACTTCTTCTATGCTTTCCTTGGTTGGGTCTTGCATGTGCACTGACTGGGGATCAAACCCACGACCTTTTGGTATATTAAGATGATGCTTGAACCAGTTGAGCTACCTGGCCTGGGCTCTGCTTAAGTGTCTTTAAAACGCAGGTGGCAAACACAAGGCCTGTGGGCTGAACCCAGCCCTCCACCTTGTTTTATCTGGACTGGCACCTCGTTTCTACCCAGTAGTAGCACTGAGCTCCTTGCCCCTAGTTAAGGAGTACTTATATTTATACAGTCCTAAAATACATTTGGCTCTTTGAAAGCAACCGTGAGGCTGATGTGGCCCCTGGTGAAAATGAGTTTGACACCCCCAGCTTTAAAAGAATCAGAGTCTACTCCCTTCAGGAGGTTTCAGTGGCTACCTCCTTGCCTAGGGAAGCATGCTTGACTTGATTAGAGGAGCACCGGATTCTAATCATTGTAGCTGTAATTCTTTTTTTTTTAAGATTTTGTTTATTTATTTTATTTTTTAAAGTATTTTTTATTGATTATGCTATTGCAGTTTTCCCAATTCCCCCCCTCTATCCAACCCTCCAGCATTCCCCCCAACTTAGTTCTGTCCATGGGTTGTACATATAAGTTCTTTGAGTCCTCTGTTTCCTATACCATTTTTATCTCTCCCCGTCTATTTTATGTCTATTAATTATGCTTCTTCTTCCCTGTTCCCCCCTAGTCTTCCCTTCCCCCTCCCCACTGAAATCCCTCCATGTGATGTCCATTTCTCTGATTCTGTTCCTCTTCTAGTGTTTGTTTAGTTTTTGTTTTCCTTTTCTTTTAGGTTCTATTATTGATAGTTGTGAGTTTGTTGTTATTTTATTGTTGATATTTTTTATCTTCTTTTTCTTAGATAAGTCCCTTTAACATTTCATATAATAAGGGCTTGGTGGTGATAAACTCCTTTAACTTGACCTTATCTGGGAAGCACTTTATCTGCCCTTCTATTCTAAATGAAACCTTTGCTGGATAGAGCAATCTTGGATGTAGGTCCTTGCCTTTCATGACTTTGAATACTTCTTTCCAGCCCCTTCTTGCCTGTAAAGTCTCTTTTGAGAAATCAGCTGACAGTCTTATGGGAACTCTTTTGTAGGTGACTGTCTCCTTATCTCTGTCTGCTTCTAGAATTCTTTCATTTTAATCTTGGCTGATGTAATTATGATGTGCCTTGGTATGGGTTCCTTTTTGGGCCCAACTTCATTGGGACTCTTTGGGCTTCCTGGACTTCCTGGAAGTCTGTTTCCTTTGCCAGATTGGGGAAGTTCTCCTTCATTATTTGTTTTTGATGTCTTGCTCTTGTTCTTCTCCTTCTGGAACCCCTATAATTCAGATATTGGAATATTTCAGGTTACCCCAGAAGTTCGTAAGTCTCTCTTCATTTTTTTTTTGAATTTTTGTTTTTTCATTCTGTTCCGATGGATGTTATTTCTTCCTTTTGTTACAAATCATTGATTTGAGCCCTGGTTTCCTTCCTGTCACTGTTGGTTCCCTGAATATTTTACTTTATTTCACTTTGAGTATCCTTCATTTGTTTTTTCATTTTTCTACCAAGCTCAATCAGTTCTGTGAACATTTTGATTACCAGGGTTTTAAATTCTCCATTAGATAGGTTGGCTATCTCCTCATCACTTAGCTCTCTTTCTGGAGTGTTGCTCTGTTCTTTCATTTGGGCCATATTTCTTTGTCTTGGTGCACCTGCTAAGATGTCAGGGGGTGGGGCCTTAGGTATTCACCAGGGCAGGGCAACCCTCCTTGCTGCGCTGTGGTGCTGTCTCTGGGGGAGGGGCCAGAAAGAGAACAGTGCAGCTCACCTGCTTGGCTCTAGCCCACTTTCTGATGAACTCTCAGATGAGACTGGGAGTTTCTCCTGCCATGGCCACCACTGTAGTCCACAGCCAGCTCTCAGTCTCAGATTCGCCTTCAGCCAGCCCCAAGTCTCAGTTTTGCCTTCAGCCAGCCCCATCTGCCACCTCGAGGTGGTTTGTCTCAGCCGGCCCTACCTCACCATGGGTTCTTACCAGTCTGATTGTTCTGGTTGATTTTTTCTTTAATTCCTTGGTTGTCAGAGTTCCATGCAGTTTGATTTTCTGGCACTTCTGGTTGTTGATTTTAGATGGGTTGTTATCATCCTTTTGGTTGTGTGAGGAAGTGAAGGGTTTCTGCTTACGCCTCCATCTTGGCCGGAACCTTATTTATTTATTTTTAGACAAAGGGGAAGGGAGGGAGAAAGAGAGAGAAAGAAACATCAATATGGGCTGCCTCTCGAGCGCCCCCTAATGGAGACCTGGCCAGCAACCCAGGCATGTGCCCTGACTGGGAATTAAACCTGCGACCCTTTGGTTCGCAGGCCAGTGCTCAATCCACTGATCCACACCAGGCAGGGTTGTAGCTGTAATTCTTAAATCTGACTGCCCATCATAGTTACCTAAGGAGTGGCTTTAAAAAAGAAAACACACAGAGAAATAATTTTAAATAAATGGGATCAGAGCACACATGCTATTTTTATTGTGGACAACTTTATTGTTTATCTTTCCTCCCCACACATCAATGTCTACCTTTTATTCCCCTCCTTCCCAAGTGATAATATAATGTGTATATTTCTCTATTTTTCTGTTCATAAAGTCCTATGTAGATCTACATACACAGTATTTTTGGGGGGGTTAATATTATGGGTTTTTTTTCTCTTAACATTACTTCATGAAAATTCCTCCAAGTCATCTTGCTTAATTCAATTATTTTTTTTTAGTGGTGGACAATATTTGATATTGAGGACACCATAATGTATTTAGCCATTCTGCTATAGATGGGCATTACTTTAATTCTTGGCTACTGCAAACAAAGCTATAATAAACTGCTATTTTTGCTTTTTACTTCCAGTAGTAAAATTGTTAGGTAAGAGGGTAAATATATTTTCAACCTTAATTGATATTTCTAGATTGCTTTTCAGGAAGACTGTAACATTTTACATTGCATAAACAGTGCCTGAGTATATTCTCTACACTTTTTAAAAAAATTCTCACCTGAGGATATGTTTATTGATTTTAGAAAGAGAGAAAGGGAGAGACAGAGAGAGGGAGACATTGATGTGATAGAGAAACATCAACCAGTTGCCTCCTGTATGCACCCCAGCTGGGGACTGAACCCACGACCTATGTATGTGCCTAACTGGGAATTGAACCCACAACCCTTTGGTGCACAGAATGATGTTCCAAGCAACTGAGCCACCCGGCCAGAGAAGGAATCTCCTACACTTTTAGGGGAAGCCTCTTAACAATAAATATTCCTGTGACCTCAAATATTCTGATTCAGTAGGTCTGTCTAGAGATACAGAAAGATATATTTTTTAAAGTTCCTAGATGAATCTGAGGTGGTTTTAGAACCACTGCATTTCAACTCCAGGAAGCATTAAAAATAAATGGTCTTCTAGCTTAATATCAGCAATATGATGGTTTAGCCTGAAGACATATATTAGAATCAAAATATCAAATCAACACATGAATTGGAGATAGATATAGATATCTCGAATACAGGTCAAGGGCATGTGCATCTTCAGAATGGAAAGCTTAATTAGTCATATTGGGGCAAGCCCCTGGGGAATCACATATCCAGTTTGGAGCAGCTCTTAACAGTCTGGCAATATTTTGAGGAAGAGATAAGCATTTACAGATTGTGTAGAATTTTAAGTAATTGAGAGAAGCTAATGGAAGTAAAAGAGTGTTACACATACAAAATGTTGCTGAAGAGCTCCTGTTCATTAAAATAGGTAACAAAAATCAAGAGACTTGAATTTTAATAATGGTTAAACTACTTACTACCTGTCAGACCATGGAATGAGTTCCATGCTACATAAAACATAACAGGAAGGTTTGATAGATGATTACTATGATCATTTCCATTTCTAACTAGATTGGATAATAGTTTGTCATCACAGACACTCTAGAGAATCACTATGTTGGAAAATTTCCTCTGTATATATTTTAAGTCTTGGACCCAAGTCTGAGAGAAGCAAAGTTAATTGTGCTTACAAAAAATGAAATGAGGCAAGATGGAGACATTCAGCTGTCTCTCCACAGGGCCCCTTCTCTACAAGTTCTTCAAGGCCTGTGTTCTGAGGCCCTTGTGGCATGTAAGAAAACTATGCATATTCTGAAACTGTTTTTTCTGCATTCCAGGAGCACATCCTCCATTAGGTGAGGGATGCATATTAGTTGTTTAATGAAACAACTCCGAAATTTTGTACTGCCAAGCTCCGAGTTCAGGCTCCAAGAGAAGGGAGGGCTTCAACTTATATTTGTGTTTTCCTCCTAAGGCTCTGCAGATGGCATTGGAAGGAGGTTGCACTCAGCCCCTGGCCTTGGTCTCTCAAAGACCCCAGCAGCAGAAACGGAGCACAGTCTCCATGAAGCCAACACAGTGCCTGCTTCTCAGGTAGCAGTCTCAGGTGCCAAAGTGCTGGGCATGGGGTGTTGTGTTGGGGAAGGAATTGGGGAGAGAGATGAGTGGCAGGGTTGGTGGTAAGGCAGGGGCATGGTAATGGTGGGGCTGTTAAAGGAGAACAAGATCTATGACTGAGCTGCTTTTGAATGAGAGGAGATTGCCACCTAGGTGTACTACCTTTCAAATATATCTAATTCAGATCTCTGCCAGTGAGTTTTACCCTATTCTCTCCCAAATTCCTGGAAACAGGGTCTGTGGGAAAATCCCAGGTCTGGCGTTACGTGTTTGCCTATGTATTTCTGTATATTTGAAGGCTACACCTTGTCAAAACCCCAGCAGGAGTATGGAGAAGATGATAAGTACAGTGCAGAGAAATTTTGTTGCATCTCATGCAATCTCAGTGGCAATGTTGTCTTAGAGAGAGAGGAGACCCCAGTCTCTTCCCTCAGTGTTGTAAGTAGAATCAGTGTCTTTCTATTCAGAGCTCCCTCTTTCTCTTGCTAGGTAAAATATTGTACAAGTGAAGAGGCAGAAAAAACTGAAGGTTGTAAATTGGGGGAAAGCAATCAGCAAAAACGAGGACACATAGTCATTATTTTATTGACCCACATTTAGTTGGAGCCCAGAGGAATGTCCCTTCTCTGTAGTTGTTCTGCAAGGTGTATTATAGGGTCCCCCAGGGTGAGAAGAGTCCTAGTAGCCTTGAGAGGAGTCTCAGAGAAGCAATACCTGCAGATTGGGTCAGAACCCATTGCACTGGTCAAAGGAAGAGGTGGGATGGAATATTGTTTTGCCTTTTCCGCCTCACCCTAGTACATGATTGAGTGAGGTCCAGTGTGCTTTCAAGTTGAAATAAAGCATTTGCATTAGCAAATATGGAAAATGATTTTTAAAAATCCTCCTCCTGAGTCCTTTCTTACATAATCAATGCAGTAATTTGTGGGTGAAATGGACAAGGACAGGCAAGTCAACGAGATCAACAAATTCAAATAGTTTCAGTGACTGGATTTATAAATTGTGCCTTTTGAGAATTTCACACACTTTCCCAAGGCAAGTTGAGTTTTCATTACAATAGAGGTCAGGACACAAAGCATCAGTGCATTGAAACTTGTTCTCCAGGTTAGCTGAATAAAAAAATTTAAAACAGGTTTTAAACATGTGGTATAAAAATTAAAAGGTGCAAAAGGATATAGAGTGAAAACTAAGTCTCCGTTCTACTGGTCCTTCAGATCCAGTTTCTCCTCCCTAGAGGCAGTCATTTTTTCCAATCCATTATTCATCAGTTCCTGAACAACTCTGAACAGTGTCCTGTTCTTTTTGGAAAAGGTGGTCTTTTTTTGCCCAGCATGTCTTCTATACCTTTAATGCATTTAATGGTGAATTGTTACTTTCTAGGAGATTTGGCTTGCTTTCTTCTGACTCCTATATTATTTATTTATTCATTCATTCTTTTAATTGCTTATTGAGCTTATGTTCTAGGTCCTGCGCCAGCTGCTGGGGATACAGTGGCTAGTGAGCTAGATGTAGTCCTAGCTCTCATGGACTTTACAGTGTACTGGAGACAGATAAATAAACAATTTTAATATAACATGATAGGATTTAATGCTATGGAAGTATAATAGAAGGAAATCTAAATTAGGCTTGAAGGATAAAGGAAGCCTTCCTGGAAGAAGTAAAAAAATATAAAGGGACTTGAAGCAGATGTTAACTGAATTAAAAGAAGTTTGGTATGGCAAGATTAGAGTCTGATAAGGGAAGGATGGAGAGTATTGACTAGTGAGACTGGAAAGAATAAAACCAAGGGTTATACCATGAACCACAGTAAGAAGTTTGGGAGGATAGTGAGAAGTGGACAAACTGGAGAGCCAATTAGGAAGGAAAAATCACTGGGACTTGGTGCCTGCCTGCCTTCATATGGGGAAAGGAGAATCAAGGTTCTTGTCCAGGAATTATGGGTTGATTGATAATCATGTATTTGAAGGAAGAGAAGCAAGTATACATTTGAGGGAAGAGATACATACAATTTTGGATATACAGGATGGGGCAAAGTAGGTTTACAGTTCTACAGAAAATAATACAATAATTAATAAATAATAACACCAGAATGAACTCTGTTTTGTATACTCATAAACCTACTTTTGCCCCATCCTGTATTAAACTTGAGTGGAGATACCTTGTAGGCCTTTGGATATGAGACATCTAGGCTTGAAATTGAGATTTGAAAATCATGCCCATTGAAACGAGGAAGAATATTGTGAAAGAGAGGAGCCAGGACAGATCCCCGAAGGGTATCAGATTTAAGGTGGTTCTTTAGAAGAACCACCTTAAAAGGAGACAGTGAAAGAGATCAGAGAGAGAAGGGAAACCAGCAAAGAGTGGTGTGACTCTCCTCTGTCTAGAAGAAAGGAGCAGTTGGCTGTGTCACATGCTGAAAGGACCTGGTCCTTAGGCTGTATGGTAAATGCCTACTATGTGCCATGCTATGGTAGATGCTATGAGTATTCTGATGACAGAACACAAATTGTGTCCTTAAATAGCTTACAGTCTCATAAAGCAAATAAGATATACTGGCATATATTATTTTATTTAATATTTATTAAATGCCTGTGATGTTCCAGGTGTCGTTCAAAGTGCTGGGGATACTGGAGTGAAAAGAACTGTGTTCTACTAGGAGAAAAAGACAATAAACAAGTTAATCCTAGACAATATATGACAAAGAAGAATAAAACAAAGCAAGAGGATAAGGAGTAAAGAGGTAACAGGGTTATTCTCAGGGTTGTTTTTGATGGAATAGTGAGGGAAGCTGGCCCTAAGGAAGTAACATTTGATCAGAAACTTCAGTGATATCAAGGTATGAGCCATGGAAAGAACATGCCAGGTAACAGAAACAGTACATGTAAAAGCCTGAAGTGGAATGAGTGTGGTGTATTTGTGGAGCATTAAGAAGATTGGAGTGTAAAAGTGCAGGAATGGCAGGAGATATGTGAGAAAGATTGGTATTGCCATATTACTTAGGAACTTGCAGGCCATAGTAGGGAGGTAGTGGGCTGAAGATGGGAAGATCAGATCAGAGGTTGTTGCCACGGTCCAGTTAAGTTGAAATATGAAACCTATGGGTACAAATGACAGTATTTGGCAAAGGCAACTAATAGAATGATAGATGAAAAGTGCAAAATCAAGGGCAATGTAAATATATTAATCTCGGTGACTTAAGAAAATGCAATACCGGGAGAAGGAGTTTGGAAGAATGTTGGTTCAATTGTGGGTATATTAGTGTTTCAAATGTTAAAGGGGATATTTCTGAGGTTTTGCCACAAAAGTGAATGACTGATGGAGTGTAGAGCAGGACATAAGCATCAGTGAGTGCCAACTTGACAGACAAACAAGGAGAGAGTGGAATGTAGCAATGACAGGAGAAAAAATGGAGTAGTAGAGTTTTGTTTTGTTTTTAAGCTTTTATTTATTCATTTTTAGAGGGGAAGGGAGGGAGAAAGAGAGGTAGAGAAACATCAATATATGGTTGCCTCTCAAGCGCACCCTACTGGGGACCTGGCCTGCAACCCAGGCATGTGCCCTGACTGGGAATTGAACTGGTGACTCCTTGCTTTGCAGGCGGGCATTCAATCCACTGAGCCACACCAGTCAGGGCAAGAGTTCTTGATTGTACACTTAAGGAGATATATTTTGGTTCCTAATATTTAGAGTATAGAATTTTCTTTCTTAATCCCAGGCTTTCTGAATTTCTCTCTCATTTCTTTTCTGTTTTTAAATTTCTCTCTCTCTCTCTCTCATTCTACTGTTAGCATTAAGGAGTTTGCTAAAGATGTACATAGTAGGGTTGGGAAGGTAAGAGCTATGAGGAGGACAAATAAAGAGAGGAGGATCTGCAGTTTGGTGTCTCCAGTTACTAGTGGTCAGGATGTTTCCTAGAGGGACTAGCAAGAGTGACTGAGTAAACTGAGCCCCTTTCCACAACATGGCATGTTTGCTCTTTAGTTCCCTTCATTCCCCTGCTTGCCTCACTGTGTTTACCCAACCATGTCCTGCTGTATGTTAATTCTCATCTCTGTGTTTTTTTTGTCGTCTCATTATAAGGATTCATCAAACACGAGGAAAAAGGCTTTGGAAACCAAGCACCGTTGTTCCAGCTCCTCTTCCCTCCCTGTCATCCATGACCCTCCTGTGTTTCTCCTTGGTCCCCAACTCTACCCACCCCAACCACAGTTCCTGTCCCCAGATGTCTTGATGCCCAGCATGGCAGGGGAGCCCCATAGACCCCCAGGTAACTCTCCCCTCAACTGTACTATGTGCCAGAATGTGGTACCTTTCCAGGGACATAAAGGTTCAAATTAGTTCGCTTATAGGTGTGTGTGTGTGGGTGGGTGTGTGTGTCTGTCCCAAGGTGGGGTTGTAAAGGGATAAGAATTACTCCTTTAAGGTCAAATATTCATCTAGATGAATTGTGATTGAATCATTTATTGGGCAACATAGTTCTTCAACTAAAGGTCTAGAGTTCCCATAATCTAACTACCCATGAAAATGAACTGCTTCAATCATGATAGGATAAGCTTTTAAGTGAGCGATGGGAGTTAATATCCAGTCTTTAGAATTCCCCCTAAAACAGAAAGTGTCATTTCTATTAGTTTTCCCTCCTTCTGTCTCCTAAGCCTCAGTTAAGGAATGGCCTATGGTAGACATGGGAAGACCCTGTACCTCAAATACCCATGTCATGTATAAAGACCCAACAGTTCTGGGGAAGGTGGGCAGCATCAGTCTGGCTTTCTCCATAGCAAGATTTGCTTCTTTTCCTCTTCATGGGCTGAATCTACAGTTTAAGGCAGTGATGCCATTGGGAAATGGGAGGTAATACTAGCATTTAGTTGGTAGAGGCTAGGGATGTTGCTAAACATCCTACAATACACAGGGAAGTTTCCCTGCACTCCCTTATCCCCCAAAGAAAGAATTATCAGCCCAAAATGTCATTCATGCCAAGGTTGAGAAACCTTGGCTTGTAGATATAAATGCCCCAGGGAAGAGGGTGGTTGTGGTTCTAGAGCAGAAGATAGAGTAGTATTGCTGATATACTACAATGTGTCTAAATTTTAGGAAGCTTTGGATAAATAGGCCATCTGGGTAGGTGGACTTTCTGTTACTCTGTGGAACAATCCAGGTAGCCAGTTTCCTTTGACAGTTGTTAGGGGCATCTGATTATATAAGCAGCATTTATTGCAGCCTATTCTGCACCAAATGCTGTCATGAATACAGAGGAGAAAGAAGACAGCTCTCTACTCCCAAAGAGCTCAGTGCTTAGTCAGAATATGCATACATGCATGCATACATACATTTAACAATGTAAGACAGATGTTGGTGGGATATAAAAAATAAAGAATTGGGAAGTATTTTTAGAATGATTCTTTTAAGTAAAGGGGAATTAATGTATAGAAAAGGCACTTCACATCATATGTGTGGGAGGACTGGCGTGAACATAAGCAGAGTTCTCAGAATGTGCAGGAATGTGACTGGAGTAGAGGCACCATGTTAAGAAAATGAGTGATGTTTTGGAGTGATGGCTCTAGGAGTAGAGCTGTCACAATGAGAATATACATTTGCAGTATTGAGGAGCCATTCTGGAGTGTGTGTGTGTCTGTGCATGCATGTATATGTGCTGAAGTAGAAGGATTATAGTGGAATGAGGCAGAAGTATGGCAGCATCTAGGAGACTGTTTTATTTGTGCAGGTTGAAGGTAAGATACTTGGTTTGGATGTATATTAAGAGTTTAAAAAAAAAACAAAATTAAAAGCAAAGCTAGGTTTCTTCCTTCCCTTGTGTGTATGTTCTTGGAGGGGTGGAGAGTTGGGAGGAACAGCCTGGAATGGTCCTCTGGGAAGGAGAATGGTTTACTGAAGATGGTCAATCTTTGGGTTTCTTTTCTCTTCTCAGGAACTTCAAGGAGTGCCCAGCAGTTTCTGGTTATGTGTGACAGGGGTGAAACTTCCCAAGGGGTCAAGTACGCAGGATCGACTTGGAACTATCGGAGTCTCCCCCATTGTTCCAGAACAGATGCCTCTTGGGGACCATGGTCAGAGGCCAACCAGCATATTGGGGCTAGATTCCTGACTACTCCAGGGTGCAAGACTCAGCTAATCCATTCTGCCACACTACCAGAAAGACACCAGGGCCTTCATGTTCCTCATGATCAGTCCTGGGGGGGTCTTCTCCATTCACCCTCCCATCCTCCCATTGTTCACCCTGTGTCTCTATCATCAAACAGTCTTCATGTACCCCTGAGGTCAGCTTGGAATTCGGGTCCTGTTCCAGGGTCTCGAGCCCCTGGTCCTCGAAGAGTAGATATGCCCCCAGATGATGACTGGAGGCAAAGCAGTTATGCCCCACAATCTGGGCACAGGAGGATAGGGGGACAAGAGTTTCTGTTTGTTCTAGCAGATGCCCCTGGAAGAAAGCAGATCAGGGCTAGAGCCCTGCAGCACAGTAGGTGGTAAGGGCCACCCCTTTCCTCTCCTGGAGCCACAGCTTTCTCTGTTAAACTGTATGGTGGCAGAGTTCATACCTTACATCCCTGCCAGGGTTGTGCTAGTCTCATCTCATCATAGAGTGGGCAGTTTCTCCTAGGGATGCCAGGAACCTCTAATGTGATGTGGCTGTTTGAGAAGGAATATTGGAAATTCCAATTTCCATTCACCTAGCAAAGAGAAGTAGCTGCTATTTAGGCCTTTATTTGAGCCACTTTAAAGATGAATCCATATTACTGTGGACATTAGCCATTCCTTAGGTCACCATTCTATTCCTGGATACTTTATGTCCCTACTTGTACTTGAGCCCTCATCCTCTGTTCCTCTACTGTCTTACCAACTTCTATTCTTTGTTTTATCCACCTATCCCTATTACCTGTCTGTCTTCCCCATTCCCCATTCTTGGAGGGACATGTAGCCCTATGGTCACTGTCCTGACCACAGGGCAGTCCTCCTACCCAGGTATGATAGACTGTCAGCCTTCCCTGTGCCCCCAAAACTTAGGCCTAGAATGTGGAGCTTCCAACATAACATTTGCCCTCTGAACAAATGGAGTCAGGCACACTAATACCCTTCTGTCTCAGCAGCAGAGTCATTACTGCCACTTGCTCATTCGCTGTTGTAAACCCTCAGAGTCAGCTGAACTATTTTAGGGCCAAACATACTGTTTTTGTAAAGTATTTTTCATTAATAAATCTATAAGATAGTTCTATTTAATTCCTTGTCGTTTAATTGTCTTATAAAGCCCTTCTGGGCTGGGAGAAGATGGCAGCCAAGTAAGTGGAAGCTGAGTCCACTTGCTCTTGCCCCCAACTCAGATTCACGACTGATCTTCTGAAAAATAATCTGATCAACAGAATCTTAGCTGATACGAAGTTCTGAAGCCAGAGTAGAGAAGATGCCTCACAATGGGTGGTAAGGAGACTTTATAAGTTGAAGGGGAAATATCCCATGTGTGGCACCTGCAGCAAGGGAGAGACTGGTCAGAAATCGCAGCTTCATGACTCCCTCCCCTCCCAGGGCAGGGAGCCCCAGTCCCTGGTTGGGAGGGATTTAGGAGGAAATACAGAGGGGAGGAGACCCAGGCTACACACACGCACACACACAGTGAGCTGCATGTCCATAGCTGTAGCACTAAATGTCAACCAGAAGAGTGCCATGGAGAGAGGAACACTGTCTCCCAAAATGATCAGAGTTGCACCTGCGTCCGGTGGAGGCAGACTGTGGCCAGCCATGACCATTACAGACTTGGTTTTTTGGAAAGGTGGTGTGCATGGAGAACTGGCCAGTGACTTAGTGCTGCAGTGGGGGTGCCACAGACATTTTAAAAGGGGAGCTGAAGCGTGCTGGGCAGGGACCCCATGCACAGCTGCTCTGCCAGCAAAGGGACAGTGTGAAAGCACAGTTTACTCCCACTGAATACAGCCAGGTGGGGAGATCGGAAAGTTGCACAGCAAAAAGATTTCTGGTTCCCAGCACAGCTAGCAAGCAAGGGGCTATGCAAAACAGTTCAGGACTATTGTCTACTGTGAGGGCAGTGGGCTGGGAATTAGATGGGCAAGAGTTGAGCACCTGAGATTACTTACAGCTAGGCAGAATCCCCTTCCCCAGCACAGTTCAAACCTCTAGGAAGGGAAGGATGTACCCAGCCCCCACCTCCTGCAGGATTGCAAGTAATGTATCCAGTGGGGCAGTTATGCCGAACAGTCACACCAGGCTCAAGAACCCCCTGCAGGGTGCGTATCTATAGGAGAAAGACAGGAAGAGAAACTCCAAAAGGCTCCATTTTGAACTCTCTCAGGGAGTCAAAATATACCAGTTCCTAGGGCCCTATTCCACGGACACCAGGAAGGCAGAGAGATCAGAAATCAGTGCAACAAGAGGTAATGAGGGCCCCACCCAGCTTTGGCTTGCACACAGAGCTGCCATCAGCACCAAGCAAGAAAGAGCTGACCCTCTTACACAGATTGCCCCTCACTTGAAACAGACAGCTACTTCATCAGAAACTATACATTATTGGAAATAAGCTGAGACAGACCAAGACCGGTAGTAGAGGGGCAGGGTAACACACCCAGAGTTTTCCCAGAAGACTGAACAGCTCCTCCTAGGGGAGACCAAGGGCTCCCACCCTCCAGATCGCAATAGAAGCCTCCTCTAGAGGCAAGTGAAGGTGTTACATGCGGTGCTGCCAGAAGTTGGATGACCCACCCCTGAACCTTGAGCTGATAAAAAGCAAGAGGAGGATCCAGGCAGAAGGCAAACACCAAACAGCTGAGACGAATTCTACCTCATTCTTCAGTATTTGCTTAATTTTTTTCTTGCGTGTATTTCTTATAACATTTTTTCTTTCTCTTCAATTGTATTACAACTAATTCACTATTTTTGTCTTTTTTATTCTTTTTATTTACATTTCATTTTTATTTCAAATTTCACATTGTATCCTTCTCTTGTATTACTCCATCTTGCCTGCTTCCTTCTCATTCTTATTTTCATTTAAAATTTTATTTTCCCCTTTTATACATCTTGTTCTTGTTTCTTACTCTTTCCCCTCCCTCTATCCTCTCAAAATCATTTTCTTTCCTTTATTGAGCCCACATTCTTTTTCCCTTTCTTATAATATTCTTTCTTTCCACCTTTATTAATCATTGCTTATTTAGCGTGGTTATTACAGTTATTGCTGTTTTTCTTCAATTTTATTCCTCTCCACTATTTTTAAAATTTCAAATTTCAGGTTAATCTGCCCATCTTACTCTATTTTGCTTTCCTCCTATATTTGCTTATTTGAGTTTGAATTTTTATTTTTCCCCTTACTTTGCCTGGATTCTATTCCTTACTCTTATTATTTCTCCTTCCTCTGTCCTCTCAAAATCATTTTTTTACTGTAGTCATCTCAGATTCCCTTTTTCTTATAATATTCTTATTCTTTTTCCTCCTTTATTATTCTTTGTTCATCTGTCATTTTATTGACCCTGTTGAGGTTTGTCTTCAATATTGTTCCTACTGGTTCACTTTTTTTAAAAAATTATTTCAAACCGCATATAATATGCTTCCCTTTTTTTACTCCATTTTGCCACCTCTCTTCCCTTTTTAACTTATGTTATAAATTTTATTTTTTCCTTCTTTACCTTGTTTCTATTCCCTATTCAGTACTTCTCCTGCCTCCTCCCTCTCAAAATCATTTCTTTCTTTTAGTCATCTCATACTTTTTTCTTATATTCTTAATCTTTTTCCACTTTTATTATTTTTCCTCATTTGCTGTTGATATTGCTGATGTGGTGGGGTATTTCTGCTGCTGTGGGTTTGGCTTTTTGGGTAGTTTTGCTTTGTCCTGCCCGCACCTGTACAACAGCACACTAGATGTGGTGGGGGTGCAGACTCTCAGTGAGCCTGCCGAAGGGGAGAACCCACCAGCAAATGAGCCATCAATAATCAAAGCCCAAGTACAACAAGAGAGTTCACATAATCCAAATAAAGGGCATACCTAGAGCATCCAGCTCAGGAGATCAAAGAGTCTGCACCACTGAGTCTCACATAAATCTACCACAGAAGGCCACCCAGGAAGACAGCGAGTCAAAGCAGAGCAATCTGATGTGCAGAAACAAAAAGTCATCTAGAATGAGGAGACAGAGAGTAGTTACAGAATAGCCATGAGGATGTAGAGTACAGTATAGGAAATGGAGTAGCCAAAGATCTTATATGCATGATCCATGGACATGAACAATGTTGTGAGGATTGCCTGAGTGAGTGGGAGTGCTGGGTTGACAGGGGCAAAGGGTTAAAATTGGGATAACTGTAATAGCATAAACAATAAAATATAATTTCAGAAGAAAAAAAAATAAAATGGGGAGACAAAGAAACAGCCCCCAATTGAAAGAAAGGAATGGAGGAATCCTGAGAAAAAGAGCTAAATGAAATTGAGGTAAACAATCTATCAAACATATAGTTCAAAATAATGGTTATGAGGATGCTCAAGGAGCTTTATGGGAGCCACAAGGAACTTAGTGGGAATTACATCAGCATGATAAGTGATATAGAAACTATGAATAAGAACCAGGAGGAAATAAAGAATACAATATCTGAAATGAAGAATATGCTAGAAGGAATTAAAAGCAGACTGGATGAAGCAGAGGACCAAATCAGCGAGCTAGAAGACAAAGTAGAGAAAACCACATAGTCAGAGCAACAAAATGAAAAAATAACTCAAAAAGAATAAGGATAGTTTAAGGGAGCTTCAGGACAACATGAAACATAACAATATTCACATCATAGAAATACCAGAGGAAGAAAAGGATCAAGGGATAGAAAACCTGTTTGAAAAAATAATGACAGAAAATGTCCCTAACTTGGTGAGGGAAAAAGTAACACAAGTTCAGTAAGCACAGAGAGTCCCAATCAGAATGAATGCAAAGAGGCCCACTCCAAGACACATCATAATTAAAATGGCAAAATTTAAAGACAAAGAGGGGAGCCTAAAGGCAGCAAGGGAGAAACAGCTAGTAACATTCAAAGGAGCTACAATAAGGCTATCAGCTGATTTCTCAACAGAAACACTACAAGTCTACAAGGGAAACACTACAACCACTACAAGGGAATAACATGAAATATTACAAGTAATGAAAAGCAAGACCTACAATCAAGACTACTCTATCCAGCAAGGCTCTCATTTAAAATGGAAGGCAAAATAAAGAGCTTCCCAGACCAAACAAGACTAAAAGAGTACACCTCCACCAAGTCAGCATTGCAAGAGATGCTAAAAAGACTGCCTTTAGAAGAAGAAATAGAGAGAAAGAGGAACAAAGGTACAATAGGAAAAAATGGCAATGAAGAAGAATTTATCCGTAATAACCCTAAATGTTAATGGACTAAATGCTCTAATCAAAAGGCACAGGATAGCTGAGTGGATAGGAAAACAAAATCTGCATATATGCTATCTATAAGAGACCTACCTCAGAATAAAAGATCTACACAGGCTGAAAGTGAAAGGATGGAAAAAATATTCCAAGTAAATGGACATGAAAAAAAGCCGGGGTAGCATATTTATATCAGACAAAATAGACTTCAGAACAAAGGCCATAATAAGAGACAAAGGCAGTTACTACATAATACTTAAGGGAGTTGTCCAACAAGTGGACATAACCCTTGTAAACACGTATACACTCAACGCAGGAATACCTAAATATATAAGGAAAATATTGGAGGACTTTAAGAAGGATATCGACAGCAATACAGTCATTGTAGGGGATTTTAAAACCCCACTGTCAACAATGGGTACATGTTTCAAACAATCAACAAGGATATTATGGCATTGAAAGACACCCTAGATCAAATGGACTTAATTGATATTTATAGAACATTTCACCCCAAAGAAGCAAAGTATACAATCTTTTCAAATGCCAATGGATCATTTTCAAAGATAGAACATGGTAGGACACATTTAAGACAATTGAAATCATATCAAGCATCCTCTCAGATCACAATGGCTTGAAACTAGAAACCAATCTCAAGGAAAAAACTCAAAAACATTAAAATACATGGAGACTGACTAACATCGTTATTAAATAGTGAATAGGTTAACAATGAGATCAAGAAAGAAATCCAAAGGTATCTGGAAACAGGAGAAAATGAACACAAAACAACCCCAAACCTATGGGACACAATGAAGGCAGTTCTGAGAGGGAAGTTCATAGCAATAGGCCTACCAAAAGAAGATAGAAAAA